TCACTTTTTTAAAAGTTCAAGAGATAGCTCTTGTTTATCGGCTGTTTCAAGTCAGGATTTCCTCCAACAGACCATGTCAGTTCTGGGCAACCTGAGCTCAAGTGGGCAGCTTCCTGCCAAGGAGCTGCGTTGCGCCACGGTATTAGAAATAGAAGAGTTACTTGGATATTTTGAAATAGCTAAGCCTGTCAGAGATATGAGCATGAGTTTTCCTTTGTCCACAGACTGCTATTTGTGAGACAGTGGTAGCTTTTGGAAACCAATGATTATCTCCACAGATTGCTATCTTGCAGTGTACTTCTCTGGGATTCTGAGAAAAAAAAGTTACACATGATTAAGGTCATTTCTAATGAGGTTAGAATTAAAATATTTTTTAATTGTGTCTCTACATTTGTTTCTTTGGCCATGACACCTGAGAAGATTAATGAGAGTGATAAGTGTCTTCTTCTCAGGAACAGAAATAAATACAATCAAGTGGAGAAACTATGTAAAAAAAGGAAAGGGATGTTAAGTGTGAAGCTTTTGAAATGATAAAAGCATACTTTACCTAACTGCTAAAAAAAGTTAGTACATAAAAATATTTAATGAAAAATTACTAAAATTGACACAGCAGCAAATAGAAAACCTAAGTAATCAGTAACCGTAGAATGGACTGAATATAATTTAAGAACAGAATCTAAAGGTGGCTCTGATCTTGATGATTTTACTGGTAAATTATTTTACCAATTGTCATGTTGGTTCCCAGACCCTGTATCTTGCCTTTAACTCATATTCTGAACGGCTCTGTTTTTCCTCCCACGTGCACACCTTTTCCCAAACCTGTTCCGCTTCCTGCTTTATCAATTTCAGCACCTACTTTTGGCATGAGCCAGAAGCTTTGATGTCACCTTCATTTCATCCCCCAGTCTCTTCTCCTCTCCATACTGTATCTTACTGCCTTTTTAATTCTTTCTTTGTATGTTTTTTGAATCTAAACTCTCCATTCTTCCTGCTGCTCACTTGGTTCACCCTCCCTGTCCTCTCTCAGTTGAACTGCTGTAATGAGCTATCTGGTGCTAATGCCACCAGTGCCCACCAGCTCTCTTCCCCTTTAGGCTGTGGACCAGTGAGTGTCCTTCCAAAGAGAAGTAAATCCTGCATTGTGCTTCTCACAACTTGTTTGGTTACCATTGCCTGGGCACAGTATTCAGTGTAACAGGGTGAGCTGCTCAAAATTTAAAGCAGCATAACAGGAAACATCAAACTAGATAGTTTTCAGTTGTTTTCAAAAAAGTAGAATCTGCCTATTTCTGGTGAGAGAAGACTGCTATTGCATGTTTAGCTGGTTACTGCATTTTAGATGTTGTAGGAAAAGCAGACACGTCTGGGATCTAGAGCCTACTCGCCGAGATTTTCTGCATTTTCCCACGAACCAGGAAGGCCCACTGTCAAGGCAAAAGGAACTGGTGTAGGAAGATAGCTCTGAAGAGACACTACCCAAAGGGGAAAGCACAAGAGGGGATCTGCAAATGGTGTTGCTGCAGACAAGGGAGTCGGGAATCCCATCAGATGCCCTTGAACACAAAACTGAGTTGGGCAGAGCTGTGCGACTGCTGGCCTGGGGTGGAAGGCAGGGACAAAGTGGATATCAAACATTTAGGCTGCAGAGCTTTAGGAACCTAGTAAAGGTGTCGGTAGCCCAGGTTTGGCCTGCAGAGCCGTTCCCCTCTTAATCAAATGCAGGAACGTGAACAATCCAGCATCTGGAGCAGCAGCCAGCCATGGGGGACCAAAGATTGGAGCCCCTTTCCTTATTTCCTGGGCTACATAAACCCCAGACTCCAGGGGCAAACCCAAGGGAGAGGATATGGCTCCTGACAAATAATGAGGTTATTCCTGCTGCCAACATACCACCTGTTCACTAGAGTTGTTGCCCAACTACGTGGACTGAGTATGGTTTTTTCAGATGCCATCGAGCACACTTGGTGCTGACAGTCTACCTGAAGAATCAAGTCAAGCCTAGAGAGGCAACCCAGAGAGAGGGGGAAAGGTGGAGACAGAGCTCTCCTGACATTGTTCTGGGTCCCTGCTCACACTAGGATGAGTCCCTGAACTTCTGGGCTTCCTTTCTCTGCTAGCTGGCTTTGGCATCTGCTCTTGCTACTGATGAAAACCGAATATGAAGGGGCAACACTGAGGAATCCAGAAGGGAGGTCATCCTTTTACTTCACAGCTGGTGTGAGAAGAGACGGACATAGGCGTACCCTGCAGAGGAAACCCAGCAGATACGGCAGGGGCAGAGGACAAAGGCATCATGAGGGAGCTCACACTGAGAAGCACCTGGTGTGCAGGGGCAGGATTTCAGTCTGGACAGAGATTGGCAGGAGCGAAGTGGGTTTTAATCAACCCTCCAGGTGATTCTGATGCACACCAAAGTCTGAGAACCATTCTCCTAATTAGTGTTTCAAGACATAATACACCTGTGCTTCCTTACCAACAATTTTCTGGAAACACCCCAGTGTGAAATTTATGTCAACAGTGTTAACCTCACAGGTGTGTATAGACAATAAACAAAGGATTATCTTTACTGATGGGAAAGCCATGAAGACTACCTGAGAGGCATCAATTATGCCTGAGATTGGCACCCTGCAGCTATAGGTGTTGATAAACAGATTTTAAAATTGAGAAAAAAAAAACACAACTGACTTCCATTCTTCACAATTGCTTCCCAGAAGGAAGTATGACTGCAAGACCTGTAGCCATGATCCACGGACCTCTTTTCCTGGGGCATAACTTCCCCCTCTATTCCCAAATTGTCCTTGCCATCTTTTAAATATTCTTAAGGAGTAATATTTCTTGGAGACTCAAAGACTTCATGGCTTAAAAATGTTGTGGGCTTAAAAATAAAAGCCTGTGACAGTGACTCCAGTGGGTTAAGGGGGGGATTTGATAATATGGGTGAATGTAGTGACATAGTAACCACAATGTTTTTCATGTGAAACCTTCATTAGTCTATCAGTGATGCCTTAATATAAAATAAATAAATAAATAAATAAAAGCCTGTGGCTTATTGGTCATCCAGATAAACTTCTTTAGCTTCTTTTCAAATTGTGACTACCTCCTTTAAAAATGGCTAATTGGGGTTTAATTCTGTTTAGAATGTAAAAGATCAAGTATAACCACATCTTACAGTAGTTGTTATATGCCTTTTATGTACCACATGTAAATCAAAAAACACTGCTTAATTTTAAAATTCTTTTTTGCTGTATCTGTTATTAGAGGCAAAAGAGTTATAAAATTACCCTGTAAACTGCTTCCCTTCTTTAGGCTGGATCAGTTAACAGTTCCAGAACAAAATCCACAATTCTGCATCCCATAGGCTTCAGGGGCATTCTGATGAAATTCTGACAGGTACTGAGTCAGGAGGCCCATTTTTAACATGCAAAATCCATGGATCACTGATCCTATTCTGTGGATCAAAAAAAGTAAATGTATCTTCATTTGTAGCTGTGGGCAGAGCATCTTGGCAATTCCGATCCTAATAAAGTAGAACAAAGGATGTGTGTTGACAACACACTACCTTTGTTTGGGGAATAAGCTCCTGACCTGGGAGGCGGGCAGTCACAGGAAGGATGCACACTGGGAAGTAACCCATTTAGAGGCCTCCACATTTTTCCTCAAACGAGTTCCTAACTCTTACCTTGTCTAACACAAAATTCAACAGTAGATTCAAGAGGGAAAAAAATGGGCTCAAGTTCTCAATGCTACCATGTAATAGCCTAGTTGAAATTCCTATCACATGTAAATCAGACCTGATTATTGCCTCTGGATTCTACAAAGAACCACAAGACTTGGGTCTTCACTTCTTTCAGTAAAGAAGTCTACAAAAAAAAGTGTGTCAAACTGGCTAACACACCAACACATTTTGTATATCTACTAACTGAACTAGCTAAACTCAACAGTACCTTCGGATGCCTGTATCCTAGGACTCGTGCCATCTTTACTCAGTTAAACATTAAACTATTGTCTATTTGCTCCAATTCTACAAACAACCTGTTGATGTATAAGGACAGAAACTATTAATGCATTTACCTTTCCTTCTTGGCAAATGAACAAACACTGTCTGCTGGTTCAAAGATGAATTCATTCCTGTTTTGAAAACCGTTGGATGCTCTATTAGTAATGCCACATTCATGGTTACCTCTGAAATCTTTTAACTCCCCAAAGAGGTGAGTAAACTGGCTTTTATTGGAGAATAAGCGAGAGGCAAATATCATACAGTACATCATTGTTTCTGATCTATTAAGGCAACCTGTAGTCAATCTATATTTCTAACTATAATTTGCATTACCTGATTTGCACATTCTTGCTGGGCAGATAGGGATGAGTTTGGAGACCACCCATCCATTCCTACCTCTAAGTTACAGATCAGGCAGCAATGACTGTAGAGGAGTTATCTCTGGAGATGAAAGATCTGGGCTGTAGGCCAACATCCTTCACTAACTTACCACATGATCTTGGGAAACTCCCTACATTGCTCCAACCGCTTTCTGAAGACTAAAAGAGAAATACCTGTCCTGCATGTGTAACACACCTACTGTAATGTTCAAATGAAGTGATAATGCTTTGTAAAATTGTAAATCAGCTTAGTCAAACATTTTAGGAAGAAAATAATCAGATTATATTCCGGGACTATGAATTCATTTTAATCTTCTAGTTTCCTCATTGATAAATGTATGCTTTGGTCCTAAGATAAAGCAGAATTAGAAAAGTGAAGTGATTTTTTAAAAAAATCAAAAAAAGGTTTACCTTAAATGGCTCACATTGTCAGTATCAACAATGATTATTCCAAAGGCTTAGGGGTTAGTGAACAATTTCAAACCACTTTTCCAAAACATGAATATTAAAATAAAAGCCATTTAAAAACTCAGACATCAATGAAATAATAGGTATATAAATGAGTTTGAATCACAGAATTGACATGTTTATAAAATAGATGAAATACAAGAGTAGACATTAAATAGTTTTAATGAATCCACTTCCTTTATTGCAGTAACCTTTGTACAAAGCAGCGACTGCAATACTCAACGTTAAAACATTAGAAAAGCATTTGTGTGACAGTTATAGTACAGTATTATCAAAATATTACATTTTCAAACTTAGTAGATAAACATCCACCAGAGCTCAAATCTTTAAATTATTTCCATAGTCTTTAAAAATATGTAATGTCAGAAAGCATATAAAAAGAATGTAAAAGGAAACAAAGTACAAATGAAATAATGTAACAAATAAATATTTCATTTAATTAACCATTAATTATCAGCTTAACACCACCATTCTAAGCCCACTGAATTTTTACCTACAGGAATAATGAACTGCCAAGTGCCGATGCACAATTATTTCCAAGTTATCACTAATGATCAGAACTAAAAAAAAATTTGGCATTAAAATAATCAAATTCAGCATAAATAAAATAGAGTAGAAAAGCTTCAACACTAGCAAGCATCTCTTAGAATTGTTGGAATTTATGACAATCCAACAACCTGGAAAATTTTGACCTGGTGTCTAGTGTTAGGTGAAAGTAATGCTTATTTTTCTTTTTAAGATGAAAAGCCTCTTACATTATTTCACAGACAATATCACCCTCCCCCCAGTATGCATATTTAGATATATTTTATGTACTTTATACACATATGTATGACGTATGACATTTGGTTCCTGTAGTATGATCACAATCATGTTTTCCTGAATGGGAAAAACTTAAAAAAAAAAAAATAAGTGTACCTGTGCACATTTCAAGATAGCAGCACTCAGTTTACACCCTATTATCTATTCAAGAAGTTAAAACATGACATTGTTTACTGAATAGTATGACATTTCTACTTTCTTTCCCCCAAAACACAACAAAACCTGCAATAAATGGAACAATGCTGTCAGTTATAATGCAGGAAAAAAGTTTTGAAAAACAATTGCTTCATTTTAACATTTTTTAATTCAAAATTATCAGATCTTCATTTCTGTGTATCAATTTAGTTCATACTCTTCTTGCAGCAGAAACACTGCACTGACAATAATTTCATAGATTTTTATAAAGATTCATGAAAACCTGCATAAATTCCTCCCCACTGAAACTTATACCAATGAACTTACTGAACAGTACTTCAGATAAAATGTTCTCCACTTCCTAATCAAATGATAATTCTGTGAATTTACATGCTCTTCAAAGAATCACCTTTGTTCTCCATGAAACTTGTATCTTTCAATCTAATTTTGAGCTTACGTTTACTAAAACAAAAAAAATTTCATCTAATGAATTTTGATCACTTTAAAATGCAAAAAACCAGCAACATAAATGTCATTATATATACATATATGCATATGTGTATGCATATACATATACACACACATGTATGTATATCCCTTGAAATGTTTTTAGGAAATCCTTCCTTGAATAAAAAATGAGAAAATTCACATTAATAACTGTATATAAAACTTTTAGTAACAGTACATATGCACTGTCAAAATTGTACTATCGGACTACAATGTCAAAACAGACATTTCAAAAGCATAAACTGGCAGTTTTTCTTAACACAAAAGTTTTAAAGTATTAAGAATGGATTAATTTTAAATGTTCAGAATAATCTGTTCAAACCTGAGTATATTAATTAAGACTAAGTATACTTGACAATTGACAGAATTAAGCCCAAAAACATTTCACTAAGAAACCAGTGGTCCATTTAACCGTTTGATGAAGCATTGGTACAGTGAAATTCCATGTAGTGTTTATTGAAATATTCTATTAAATGACATTGTTTTGTCTTATTTTTCTCCAGAAAGGCCTTTTAGCATTTCAAAGTCCCTCAGATTTAAGGAAAACTCTCAATTATGAGAGATCTTTCTTCTAATGAATATAACAATTGTGAGGATTTTTGTCTGAAGAATGACAGTAGTAATTTTTTAGCACAGTATACAGAAGTACTGGATAAATCTTTGACCTTCCCTAAGGTTTCAAGAAATAATAATCAAATGAGGATACAAATAAGAGCCAATTAGAGGTTAAAAAAAAAAAAGTTTATTGGGCCTTTCTTTCCCTAGATCTACATTTATACATATACAAACCTAACCTTGGGGTCACTTTTGGTTCCTATTTTTTCTTTTTTTGCATTTTTCATTACCTTGCTCTAATTCTCACCTTTATACCTAACAGATACTTTTATAAAAGTAATAGAAAACATACAGTACTCAACACTAATTGGTCAATGGAAGAAGAAAAGCAGTGTCCATTTCAAGGTGAAAGACAATAGAAATAAAAGTAAAAGCTGAAGGCAAAATTTGACATTCTATAAATTTATAAAAGAGGATATATGGATGAAATTTGGTTAATTTCAAAGGCACCTCAAGGCTAAAGGCTTTTTGTACTCCTTTCATCAATCAAAAAATAACATACTTTTATTGCTTTTCAAGTAGCAAAGGTAAATTTTACTCTCGTGAGCTTCAGTCCAACAAGGAATCATCGTTCATTAAGATTGAGATACAGAATTGACTAAAACTGAAGTCTCCACACCCATATCAACGGAGCGACTTCTCCGTGTGCTTTCAAATTAATTAAATAGTGAAAGAAAAGTCACAGTTTGCCATTGTGATGTTAATATGTCACTGAAGATTTCAGTTACTTCACTAGGCACTGAAGTACCATCTGGAGAGCTGCCCACTGTGCAGAACGTTTAAGAATAGAAGGTAAGGACACTCTGATGATTCCCACGGACCAGGAGAACTGGTGGCAGGTCCTTAGATAGAGCTTCCAACCACGCCATGTAGAGAGCACTGGACACGGCGCCTTTCCGTGCGACTGGGAGACTCCTGGTACCAAAAAGAGAAAGAAAATGTACTTATGTTGAGAGGAATACAATTTTAAAAAATTATAAATTAAGTCATAATAATAGAAACTAAAAATTACTATTTTTGACTGTGGTGAAATTCTGCACATACTACAGCAACTACTACCCTCGCATACCACTATTCCCATTTTTTCAAGTCTGAACAGAAGATTTTTAGAATGTCTTCATAAGAATAGCAAATATTTCTCTAAAGTGTTAACTCATTTGGTATCTAACATTGAACTCCAAATTTCTCCTTCTTCAATTAGGATAGAATTCTTTTGGGAGAAATGATGTTTCTATCTGAATTAGAAAGTAGAAACTAGAGATGGATAAATTAAATTCAAACATAATTAATTCTACATATTAGTTGTCATCTTCTTTTAATCTCTCTGGGTTTCATTTCTATGTGTAGATAGTAGTAGCAGAGACCAGTTGCTCCATAGAGCATTTCTGTTTTAGCATCTTCCACTACAGATATTTGATCATCAGCAGCAAAACAAAACTTTCTGGTGTATTAAGTGTTTTATGTCAATCAAAATAACAACCCTTTGGTATTACTTTATTTCATCATTTGGCATGTTTTTAGAGGCCTGAGTTTTCCTTACTTATTCAAGAACCCAGGTTCCAGGACTGAGAAAATTTGGGTTCAAGTAGTTCTAGTCAACCTGGTTCAGTGGAGGGAAAGCTACTAAGGGCAGGACGATGTGTCTGTAAGTCAAGTCTGTGTGTGGGAACTTGGGTGTGAGGATCCAGATTATTTATATGTATCTGGTATAGAAATTAATCCAAATTGCATTATGATAAAAGGAATACTCAGAATCTTAGTACAGGTATTACTCACATGACAATGATATTAGCTGTGCTTGAATGTTCCTTTAATAATTCATTTAACCTGATCTGCCGGTGTGTCTGAAATGAAACAGGACAAAGTCATCCTAGACCATTTGAAAACTGGAATCTAGCACAGTTGATAAAACTGTAAGTAGACAAAAAAGAAAACAAAATAATTTTGGTGTAATTAAAGTATCTGTTTCCTAATTTAAAACAATTAATGCTTAACACTGTCTACATAAAAATCCAACTAAAGGAGTTTTAATTTACACAACTGATTCCTCCATAACAAAGTGCCATTCTTGATACTTACTTATGTCTTCAGTTAAAAAGTGACAAGAAATGTTAATGCACAGGAAGCAGAAGGGGAAGAATACCTTGGTCTTATAAAGTTCAAGCTCATTATCTGTTATTCGCCATGGTTCGTCTTCTTTCATTTTATCTGCAACATCTTGTTCTTTATCATCTTCGTGAAGTCTGTACGGCTCAATCATTTCATCAAAAACTGCAATACTTGAAAAAAGACAGAATACCAACAACCTTATTTTGGATGGCTTAACAGTAAGGTCTTAAACACTAAATTAGACCTTGAAAGTTAAGAGTTTTCCATCTACTGTATTCCCCTCAATACCATAACTACAGCAATCACATTGGCAATGTATTTAGAAGAGCAATCACCAGTTTCTCAAATTGAATATACACTTAGAACAGTGTTACAGTAGCAGATTGCAATTTTAACTGCTAACACTGATCTCTCTGTATCTAGCCGTGATCCTATGCCCATCCCTTCGACCTGAATAAATCTTCATCACAGTAGCCAAAATGAACCTTTGGGGCAATAATTCAAAGTGAGTTAACTTCTTTACTCAAAGCACTTAAAGGCTTTCCCAGTTCAAGCACCACAGAATAAAAGTAGTGTAAGTAAACGTACTAGAATATTTTGAAGGGAAGAAAAGGCACATACTAAACACTCCTGCGGCAATTCCAGATTAATTCAGGAGATGCAGAATTAATCTCCAGATCCAAAAAAGATACATTATTAATGTTCAGGACAATTATAATGTTCATCATTTAGTCAACATTTACCCTAGAAGAATTAAAATTGTATCTGGTAATATAAATACACATACAATTATAACAATGTCTATATACCCTTTTCAGGTAGAATATTCCATGAGTCTACTTTTCTTTGACTTTTGAGAATTCTGAATGCAACTACAAGAGGCAAACTCTTAGATTCTCCTATTTTATTACTAAAATAAAATAGTGAAAAGTAATTTTCACTGAGTGGTAGTAATGAATGTGGGAATGAAGAATGGAAATTTAAAGAACCATATAGAGTTTCTGTGGCATCAGTGATTTTCAGAAATTACTTTTAAAGCAGTAATTGAATTCTTCTCTGAATATTGAAAGCCCTTTAGACTTACTTTGATATTTTTTATAAGCATGCCAAATATCAGTACTAGACTTAAAAAAGTGAACTTCCCATGTAACTCATTATTGGTAAAACCTCCAGGTACTAAGTTTAAGCTGAATGATCTGGATTGCTGCTGGAGTGTCTGAGTAGGTCATCCATAAAAGGATCAAAAATTTGTACAATGTAATTTATCCAATAACTTACTTTTCTTTCTTTGGTTTAGTATTAATATCTCCTAGGACCATGATATCAGAGAAGTCTATCCGAAACTTGCTAAGCAAAGTAGCCATCCTAGAACAAAAATGAATAGCTTTGACATACATGAAGGCTTATATAAGTATTTTTATTCTACTCAGGGCTGAATCTGCATATCTGAAAACCAAGATTTATATGGAAAGTCTATCAGGTGCTACATAAAGTCCATTTGAATTAATTCATCCTTTATATTCACAGAGTAGACATCTAAACTCCCTAAGTAGAGACTTCTGTTACATTCTTTTACTTTTTCTGACTCTCCTCTAGTACCAATAATGAATGGACAGAGCAAGACATTAATAATGAAATTTGAATGGCAACTAGTTTTTTAAAAGTTAATTTAGTCCAACTATATTGGTAAGTATATGGATTTCAGTAAAAAGTAATGAAGTTATTTAATTATTTTTGGATTAATCTTCCATCCATGAATAATACAAACCTCTAAGTCCAAATATGACTTCTTGGGCTGAACTGAAGCTATAACTGACAGCAGATTAAGTTCATGGCATTTTTTTTTTTTTGGAACTGGGACAGGCATAGAAAGGTTGTTCCAACAAGCCTCTGATTTCTCAGTAAATAAGTAGCTTTTTGGAGGCATAGTTGGCAATGAAACCTTGGTGGCAACAACAGAAAGGTGGAAACATACATACAGGGAAAGCAATGAACAAAACAGGATTTTTAATAAAATTAATTTTCTAAATTAAGATATTAGGAAACAGATTAGCTACAGGTTTAACTTTTAAATTATTACTAGTATTTCTTGCATAATGAATAAACACCCAGTTGAATTCTGGTGTAAATCTACTAAGTGGCTGCTATGTGTTACAGGACCCACAAAACTAAAATCTAAGATAAAAAAATGAGTATCAAGTCCCATAATGTGATGACTTGTTATCAAGTGATTCTGATTCAGGAAGGAAATGTAACAACTAGTTGAGGGGAAAAGGGTAAAAAACTATTAGGTAAGGTGCTGTGAAAAAGTAACAACAGTCCTGGGCCTTAAAGAATGGAGGCAGAGAAGGGAGGCAAGTGAGAAGCTATTTATAATAAGGAGACCAAAGAAGGCGAAGGAGTAAAAGTCTAAAACCACATGCATGTTCCAGGCAGGTGCAGAAATGTTAACTGAATACAAGGCATTTGGGCGAAACAGGAGGTAAGAACAGAGAGAATACAGAGAAGAAATTAAAAGTATTTGGGGCAGAGGAACCATATGATCAAAGCTCTTCTTTCTGAACATGAAACTGGGAGCAAAGTGGTGAGAAGGGCAGAGAAAAGACACAGGGTACTTAGAGAAGCACTGAAACCGGAATTCAAATTACAACAGTACAGACAGAGAGAATGACAACGGTGTCTGCACCTCTGTGGTCTTGATGTTTATAAAATGTATCCCATATATGAAGACGGAACCTTTGTGCACTTTCTTCTGATTAAAAAAAAAGCTACATAATACTTTAATGTCCCAAGTATTTAATAAACTTCCTAAAATGTCAATATATTTAAAAATATTACTTCAGTAAGACTACAACTTAAACAAGACAATGAAATCGAAGAGAATGAGGTTTTATTTTACTAGAATTTTCAGCTTCAGTATAGAGTAGAGCCAGATGACTGACATTTTCTGGATTGTCTAATTTTTATCAAATCTACACTGCAATAATGAAGTATACTACTAGACAAAGGCCCCTCAATTTACAACAGACTTACGCTCTCCGGTCATGGTCTATTCTGTTTATTTTTCCACCAATGAATACTCTGATCTTACAGTCTTTCCACTTTTTCTTTGTAGTCAGAAGATACGGTATCAATAAGGTCAAACCTGAATCATAAAATAAAACAAATCATTTACTAAATGCTCATTTCTCAATTAAGAAACTTTTAATTCAATTTAGTCTCTAGAAACATGTTTACTACAGCTCAATCTTAAAATTTTTCTTTCTGCCCTTCCTCAGTAACTCAGTCAAAAAGCCATCAGGCAGGCTGCCCACGGAGGGAGGCCCAGAGGAGTCAGGGCTCATGCGAGGAGGGCAGGGAAGCAGGCTAGTTGCTGGCGGAGTCAGATGAGTCACATACAAGGGGACTGAGGACATGAGAATATTCACTGCAGCCAGCGGGAGCCAGGCTTCTCACTGAAAGGAGAAATATAAGAAAGAAGAAGCTGGGCCGAACGCTGCAGCTCGGGACTGATACTGGTTTTCAATGTATACCTGCATATACAAATACACATACCAAAAAAGAAAATTTGCGTTTCCTAGATGGGCCCACCAAGAAGGCTGGGGAACAGGGAGGCCCTGGAAGCAATGAGCGTATCTAATGCCCTGATCTTTGTTTCTGGACAACATTCTCCACAGAAAGGAATCCGGGCTCCTCAGATAAAGAGTGATTCAATGGCTGGTGTAAGTACAAAACTGAGCCTGAATGTCTTAATGTATCGGAAAATAAAGAATGACTGCAACATGACAAATGATACAGAAGTCAGTCTTAGAAGTACCGAGGATCCTGCTGGCCAAACCTAGAGCAGTATGAACATCAAAACAAATAATGAAAATGACATATTATGTCCTACTGAATAAAATAGGAATCTATCAGTCTACACAGATTGAAATAAAGAGAAAGCTCTTCCTTATAGTAAAATGCCAATGAATTAATGAGGAAGAGATTATGGGACTGGAAAACCATCATTTGGGGACCACAAACAACAACAAATTCAGGCAGAAACACCAGTGAATGCCAAAGATGGTGATCAAAGTTACAGCAGCAATTTTATATTTACCTAGTCTCAAAGGATTTCCCCATCCCCCAAATAGCTGTAATTATTAAAGGGGTAAACAGGAACTTTTCAGTGTATAAACCTGGTGAAAAGCACTTCATGCAATGGTCAAAGCTAATTTCAGCAGTGATGAGACCAATCAATCACCGTCACGTGCCACCCAAGCTGACGCTGACAGAAGAGCACAGCGTCACTTCAGGGCTATTTCCACCAGAAATTTATCATTTGAGACTAAATATGATGAAACATCAACTGGCTCCGAAATAAGGGACATTCTACAAAAAAGTCTGAAATAATGGGGAAAAAAAACGTTAAGTTCATGAAGCTTCTGGAAGGACTGTGCGACTTTGAAACTGCAGGACAGCGAAGAGATAGGCCAACTAAGGACACCCCTGAAGGGATGCATGGGTGAAAAGCACAAACCATTTCTCAATACTATCCCCCCAATTTCAGTATACTTAAAGTTGTCAAAAAATATATTAACAACCATACCTCCATCATCAAAAAGCCACCAAACATCAATAGTACTCTTTCCTTGTTTTTTTTGAAACTGTGTGCTGGCTTCAAGGAGCTTCTGGTCAGCTACATTTAGAGGTGCAGCAGGGCCTTTGAGTTCTAAAGGATGAAAGAAAAATAAGATGTAAGAGAGATATATATTAAAGACCCTTTTGCTGAATTCCTATAGTTTCCTAACTTGTGTATTCAAATGTTTTTAAGGCAGATAATTGAATATGGCATCCATCAATAAGCTTTCAGTCATTTAGAGTTCAAGCATTTTTTAAATGGTTACAAATAAATATATCTTCACAACAGTTGAACTCATCCAAATTATCTTGCCTAATTTCTAGTATTCTTAAACATTCTGAATGAAAGAGAATCATAAATTTAATCAAAATTATAACTGACTGTTCGACTTTGATTCTTGAAAAGCTGTTTAGGACTAACTGGACAAATTAAATTTATGTCTTTTCCATGAACATATTTCCTTTGTAATCTTGTTTCCTTAAAATTTCTTGTTTGTTTACAGTACAAAAATATTTTTTACATAAAATGCTGTTATCTGTGATATAAAAGACACACGGGAGTGGAAGACATATGAATACAATCTTACAACTACCACTGTGAAACCCATTAGTCTAAGGAAAAATTCCCTCATCTTTAACCTAAACTTTTAACCCCTCAAAACGTGTCACCCAATTCTGAAGCCATGTAAACACATCTTTCTTTGAACCACAGAAAGATAGTGGGAACTCCTTGGAAGGACAACCATCTGCTGCAGGGGAAAAGAATCATGTACCAAGGGCGTTCCCATTTATATTCCCAGGAATAAAAAAAAAAATCAGCATTGGCTCTGTGAGCAAGCAAATAGCTATTATGAAATTTCAAGACCAAACTTTTAAAAGCAGAAATCCACAGGAGGAAATCTGATCACTTTTTCAGAAAGCCTATCATTCACTTTTCATGCTGCCATGATGTACAAAACATGACAAATGACTTTTCATGATGAAATAATATGGCTACCAAACCACACTGCTCCGAAACTCTCACCTCTATCTCCTTCTCATAAAATTCATGTACGTTGACATGACTGTGTATCTCCCAAACGCAGCAGGACTGTGAGAAATATTGCAATTTTTGAAATTAAAAATACATTAGTATCAAAATGAAGGACTTGGCTAGGTACAACTGATGGTAAAGAATGCAAGTGACACTGTAAAGAAACCTACTTCAGTGTCTCTATGTATCATCTAAACCATGCAGTTTAAATTAAAAAATTAATATCAACTTTCAGGGTTTGAGTATTTCAGAAATGCTATGATGATTTAAAAGAATCTGTCTTTGATATAATCACCTTTTCCTGGGATGATTTAACTCTTTGGTTGGGCTAATGATAATTTTTCTAATCTGCATTTAATAAATAACTGTAACATCACCTCACCATGGAAATAAAAACTAAGGTTAAAAAAAAGAAAATAAGAAGATTGGAGTTAAAGAGTTAACAGTATGAAAAAAGGGATTAAAACAAAATGATGAAAAATGGCCTGCCTTTTTTCAACAGTGGTTGAGTTGGAGTCTTGCCATCCTCTTCCTCATCTAGATTATGTTTAAAAAACACAAAATATGAGTTAATTGCCTTTATATTAATAAAATAATGAAAATGTAAATTGACCACATTTATAAACAAAACATAGTATGAAGGAACAGTCGGTGAAAAATAAGACTGAAGATAGGTATCTTCTACATTGAGTGTTCAGGATTTTAAGAGGCAAACCTATTTTAGACCCTTCCAACAGGATCACTGATTAACACTCACCCCTAAATATTATTCCTGTAAAAATGGCAAAAACTTAAGCAGAATTTTTAAGCTTTTAAATTTTCATACGTGACATCAGTTGAAAAGGTGTTATCAACCTATAGTTTATAAAGTAGCAATATGACATTAAAACACTGATGCTGCAGATAACTTACAAAACTTAAACATACCACTGCATTACTGTGCAACTAACTGAAAAGTAATTTTAGAAACAATGGATATTTACTATTTGTAAAAATTAATCATCACTTGAAATATTAAGGAACTGGATTAGAGACAGTCTTTTGGTTTACATAAAATGCCAGGTTATACAGCTGTGATTTTTTTCAAATAAATATAAATATAAATAAATAAATATATATATATATATAGAGAGAGAGAGAGGTACGTGTATATGAATGAATATATGCATATATTGGTCCATTTATATTTAGATACCTATACATAGTTTCCTGGGGTTAACACTTTTTCTGTTATGTATAAGAAATCTCAAATTTTTTTTTCTTAATATAAGTATTATTTGTTTAAGGCATATCAAACTCTCAATTTGGACAGGGAAGGGTAGACTGCAGTGGGCCCTTGAGTCAGACTCCCAGGATTCCAATAGTATACACCTCTACTCCTTTCTCTGGTTGTGTGAGCCTGAGCTAGTTACTTTCACTTGTAAAAAAGGTGAACAATACCTACCTCTTAAGGTTGTTACATCATAATGCACTTATCAGTCAGTGCCAAGAACAAAATAAGATTTCAAAGGGTGGTCTGTTTATCCCCTTGCATACTGTATCCCTCAATGACCAAGACAGACATACCAAATATCTATGACTGTATAAATACTACATCAGAATGTTTATAATTCTAAAGATTTCTTAAGGTTATAAACTTTCCTATAGTTTTCATGCTAATTTTGAAATTAGCAGAGACTAAATTGAGTCAACAGTAAATAAATGCAAAATATAATTGATGCTGCTTCTGAACACTAATTTCGTATGCCTGTTATGGAACAAGAAACATTCCAATTATTACATTTAATTTTATAGTATTAAATATTTTTCTTATAAAGCAGATATTTGATAGTATCTGCCTTTGATGATAATCAAAAGCATTTATGGATATAACTATGGACACCGTGTATTTATTTTAAAGAGCTCAGAAAATGTCAAGGAAATCCTGATTCTTAAAAATGATTTAAGTAAGTTAAAGGCATTTACATCTTTATAATAAAAAGATGAGTAGAAATATACTGACCCAGTTCCCTCCTCTATTATAAAAATAATGACATGAGCTAGTGTATGGATAACATCTACTACAAGGTGGGAGGCACGGAGTAGATGCCTGATAAATATTACTTCTTCCTTTAACATCACAGTCTTACTGATGAATTACTAGTAAATTCTGTAAAGAAAGGATCTGTTTTAGGAAAGAGAAAAGGACAAAGAAAAAAAAAGGCAGGAAATGAAGGAATGTATATTATAAACTAAAATAAATGCAGGACCATAAGAACATTATCATAATCAATTTTATAATTTTGACATGAAACAGAAAAGAATTATAATCAAGCCAGCACAAAAGAACTGAAAGGAAAAATGGTTCTCTACTACAACTCTACTCAAACAAGGTAAGAGGAAAGATGTCAGAAACAACATCGATGCTTCTAAATAATCTAGAAGTGATCAATTTCAGAGAGACAGGATCTGTCTGAGGTTATCAATTTCAGAAAAAGAATGATAATTATTTTACAGGAATCAAAAAAGTATGATATGGTTTGATGATTTACAGTGCAGATTTTTTTCTTGTTGCGTGTCACCAGAAATAGGGCAGAGGGAGATACTAGAATGAACAGAGGTAGGAGAGTGAGGGTGGGAGAGTAAGATTTGGAAGTCATCCCTCGTTCCTTCTCATAAACATGACGCACAGGTTTGTAGATGGAATTAACTGCAAGCTTTGTGAGATCTGGAAATCTTTCTGTGGCTTAAACTATAAGAGCCACCCAGGGTATTATGTCTGTAATTATGGACAAATAGTTCAGCAAGCAAATACATACAGGTTGTTTGTTCACAGAGGCTAAATTGAGGAATAAAATTATACTTGATTTTTCTACTACACTATTTAATCTGAACCACTCTAGCTGCAATAGACATAAAAACATTCTGAATATTTCAGTACATAACAAAAACCTGTGGTATTTAAGTACTGAGTTATAAAAAAACTAGGTAAATTAATTTTATAAACTTCATTCCATTCAATGTTATCATATGCTATATTACATTACTCTAAAATTACCATGTTTCTTTCCAAGATTTCACCAATGCTTCAAATTAACATGTTATACTTAAAACAAGTATAAATAATAACATATAAGAGTATACTAGTATATAATCAACTGGCATGGTTTCTGTTCTGAGATCTAGTCATTTTGTAGCCAGTTTTGAAAGACATGAATTTTACCTAAGCAACTAGAAAAGAACAGTACAAGTTTGAGAACAGGTCACTTTATAAGACTTATTATGTAATAACCACCATTTCTCCAAAAATTAAAACATGATCATTAATGAAATTTCTGGTTTAAATAAAAATTACCTTTATGTGTAATGCTTTTTTCACCAGATGGTTTGGAAGTATCTAAATCCGACTTTTTACTATACTCCATACTTAGTACCACATCCTTGACACCAGGAGATTTTTCTTGTGATGACAGTAATTCTTCTAGAGACATGAAAGTAACAAATATTATCTAAGTATAATAATTAAATGACACCTTTAAGCAAAGTTTACTATGAAATTGTAAGTTTATAAGTGATTTCTTATATAAACAAATGTGATCATCCGAACTGACAATTCACTCAAATATTCTGAGCTACCACTAAGCATCAGAGATCTGAACTAAGTGCTGGAGAATCAGCCATGAGGGAGATTCACGGAACCCAAGAACCCTGCAGACGGAAGAATGATGTATAAAATGTGAATTGACTCTACTCTCATTTATACATGTAAAGTGTGACAGATGTTCGTAACACATGTAAGATGACAGACAACACTGAAAAATTATACTCATGGCAGCAGAGCCAAAACTAGGGGTCAGTACTTTCCTAAACTCATGGTTAAAGTACCATTTCTTACTTTTTAAAGCACTTTCTTCACCTCTTGACTTTTGGGAAGGAGTTAGTAAACATCCAAGTTCCACTACAAAGACATTTATCACAAAGAGAAACATAATATGAAATTGGTACTCTATTCATAATCCTAATCCCTTATTTGTGTATATTATGAGAAGTAGTAATAGAAACTATGTAAGCCTCGGTGCCAGCTCTGTATGCTAAGAGCTTCACAGTCCACGCCTCCTTTTTAATCTTCATGACAGCCCTAAGTGATCATGTTTTACAGATGAGGAAACTGAGCCTTGGAAGTCAGCAGAGTGCCCAGCCTACAAATTACTAAGAAGGAAAGTAGGATTTTTAAAGTGGATTTGACTCCAAAGCCTGTGCTTGTGATCTCTGTGCTACACCAAACTCCTGTCTCCAAACCCTAAGGTGGAGTAACATGGCTTTCAAAACAGTTTTCATGATTATAAACACATGAAAATATTTTCTTAAAGTTCCAATCACATTCAAATCTCATATATAATTTATTAATGAAACTGTGATATTTTGGGTAGTGAAAGGAAACACAACTCATAATAATTATGCATAGTTAACAGGTATTTTAAACCTCAATCAGTGTTACAGCAAGGGAGAAATGAAATGTATTTTGTAAGACCTACTCCAGGGTAAGAAAATGCACTTTCAGCAAGCCATATTCTTGTGTTACATGGATAAAGACCTCGAAGCATTCCTTTCAAAACTGCACAACATTCTTAAGATGGTGGGGGGAACGGGAAGGTTACAATAGTTTAACTACATACAGAGATGACAAAAGTGCATTACATGCCCCTCAACTGTTTAGGCTTAGCTAATTTTGATGATTTAGTTAATTAATTAATAAGGGTAAAATATTAGGCATGCAAATTTTCTTAAGCTTTTAATATTTGTTAAACTACCTGGAAATCAATAGAGGGTATGGAATTTTCCATAGTTTTAATAAAGTTGGAAAAAGCAGTAGGTATACCTTAATTAGGTTTTAAGCCTCTCTTGAAAAAAACTTTTTTAATGCTTTAAAAATTCACAGTTGGAGAAGAGATTAGTGGGTGTCAGGGGTTAATGACAGGGGACAGAAAAAGAATATGGGGGTCAGGGGTCTGTAAAGAGGGCTATGTAGCACAAGGGAGATTTTTGTGATGATGGAACAAACATTTCTGTGTCTTGACTGTGATGCTGGTTACATGAATAAACATATGTGATAAATGGCATAGAACTACACATGTGCAAACGCAAACACAAGTGTATGTGAAACTGGTAAAATATGAATAAAGCATCCTGGTTTTGATAAAGGACTATAGATACATAAGATGTTACCCCTGGGGGAAATTGGATGAAGGATATACAGGAACTCTTTGTACTATTTTTTGCAACTTCCTGTGAATCTGTAATTATGTCAAAATGAAAAAGTTAAAGGATGTGATTTATAGGGTCTTTTCTGATGACAGAGTAAATGGTATCACAAAGCTTAGTTTTTCATTATTAATATACCTCTATGTACAAAGCATGATTTTCATAAACATGAAAATATCTAACCATTTGGTAGTCATAGTAATTTTTCCTTTGGGCTATTTATCATGTGTTTTTACAAATTTGGCCAAACTACAATCATAACTAATGTTTATTTCTCTTGAACTTATGATTTGGATGGAATTTTATTCTCCCCATTAGTAATCAGTAAACCATCATCAAAGTTGGTACAAAGAGAAAACAAGACTTCAATAAAGCCAAACAGATCTGACCTTAAGATGCCATACAACTAGTACATGCCACAGAACAGACAGTAAATATTAAAATTATTAAATAATTTACAATAATAATAATACATAATTTTTTATGTATAATGCTTTAAAAATTTACAGTTGGAGAAGAGATTAGTGGGTGTCAGGAATTAACGACAGGGGACAGAAAAAGAATATGGTGTCAGGGGTCTAAAGAGAGCTATGTAGCACAAGGGAGATTTTAAAAGTAAACTTTAAAAATAAAAAATCTTATTTCAAACCAGATTTACCTTGTCCTTGAAGATGAGATATATCCAGACCCTCTTTCAGGCGGATAACCACTACTCCATATTGTATGTCAAAGGCATCACTATAATAGAAAAAAAAAATTCACAAAAATTTTTTTCAGTGTCCTCTTCTGCAAAACAAAGGCAAGAATAGAGGATCGCTAAGATTAATATCAGCTTTAAACACCTCTTTCAAAATATGCTTTAAAAATTACCATATAATATTAATTTCAAATCCTATACCATTCCATTTCCCTTTTTCTGTAATATTCTTAAAAACTACTTGAGTGTAGATCCTCACAGTCTTGATATTCTACTTACAGCAGCTATTTAAAGTAGTAACTATATTTTTATCCTATTAGAAACAAACTAAAATTATGGAAAAACAACTTGGAGTAATCCCATCACATTTAATTTAGGCTTATACCATTAAAGCTAAGAGGAATACATTAAGACAAAGAAAATAAATTCTACTGAGAATGAAAGCAGGTTGTAGAGTGTGATGGCATCATCTCTGAAAGGAGAAAAGAATATTTTTAAGTAATTTAAAATTTTTTACAAAACTATTTTAAAAAGTAGTCCAAAGGCTTTATATGCATTTGCAGGAAGGTATTCATATGCCCTTTTAATTTTTTTTAAACACAAATGGGAACATCATATAGACACACAAAGTACATTAAAACCTCAAAGAAAACTCTGACCAGACTTAAATTCTAGAAACTTCATTAAGACCATAAATCACACAGACCAAAGTTCTCAAATCTTCTGAAAGAATTTCTAATTCCAAAACTTCAGGTTTTTCTCCAGAATGGGAACCAACTTAGCTTTTGTCTTTAATTATTAATTTTAATTATAAAGTGACCAATATTCACTATATACATACAAAAGTGATATATTAATCTATAGCTATATGTAACAAAAAGGCTAAAATCTAATAAAATGATCAAATTTTTGTTCCTACTAATTAGAAGAACATGTTTAGGGTATAATATGCCATTGTAAAAGGTCTTTTGTTACTGTTTTGTTTTGTTAAATCATATTGGCCTGATTCCTATGATAATTTAAGGTCAAAAGAGATTCACTGGAGAAAGAAATTAGAAGATATGTTAACCTTCCTCAGTTGTATCTTGAAAGACGTAGTTAACATGAGAAGAAACAACTACAAGTACTTTAAAAAAGCTAATAAATCAACTGAATCAAAATCCCTGAGTTTACTTTGGATTAAAATAGCTTAATGTTTTGCTATAAACCTAGGAATTTCTATAAAGCTGTGTAATTTCTGTAAGATACAGAAATTGATTTGTGGTTTCAGATCCTCCACACTGTTAATAAAAAACATAGTACAGTGTACCTCAACTGCTCAAAGAATTTAGAATCACAACTAAAACCTAAGGGTCACAGACAGAAGGATAAGCAGTATCACTGCTTTCAGGCTGCCACCAATTCCTCGGGGTCTGAAAAGCAGGGAGCTCTGTTACCTGTCTTCCAATGGCTGCTAATGTACAACACTTAGGGCAGTACTGGACTGTCAGAGCAAACATTCACTTCAGTGTCCACCAGGTCAGAGTCAAAGAACTCCTTTCTTTTACTGCCCCTATTATGAGCAACTGTAGCTAATAAGGAAGCAAAAATGTCACTTTTCTGTTTCCTAGGATAATACTCTATCTCACTGGTCTTTCATCCCGAGAGAGAAAAACTGTAGTCCATGGCTCATGTCCTACATGATTTAATCTTTTTCCACACTTCCCTCATCACCCTATATACAAGGTACAGAGAACAGAATTAGAAAGGTAGGATGAAATCCTGTTTCCTAAAAAGTTATATAAACTTAGAGCCAAAGAGCAGTCACAATATATGACAAACCAGCAGAGCTTTAAATTACTAAAAGGATTTCACAATTACTTCGGAATCTTATTCATTGTATACTATCAGTAGAAAGAGATTGTTTTAAAGATTATCCTATACTATCAGCAGAGAGAGGTTGTTTTAAAAAGTAAAGTATGAGATCTGGTTACTTCTTCAAAGATGTTTCAAGGAAGCCATGATAACAAAACTCATCTGTGACATAGGCAAATAATACAGGTATGACAGGAGTTCCAGTAGAGGAAATAAGTAGTGAGTTAAGGGTAATCACACCAAAATTCAGAGAAATACAATTTGAATCTGGTCTTAGAGTTACTTTGTCAAGGGTAATTTCTTGAATAAAAAAAGCACATTTATTTATGAAGAAATACTTTATGAGGAGGAGTGAACAGTTCTATTTCATCAGTAGATTAGGCAAGAAAAAGACTATTCTTCAACTGAGTATGGTATAGTGAATGGGAGTATTTATCCTCTATTAAATAGTGTGAACCAGATAGAGACTTGTTAAGCAAATCCCAGAATACTAGAAAAAGGAAGTATTTGTCAAGGCTTAGAAAAAAATCTGGCAGAATAAAAAGAAGTTTTACTCTTATTAAATAACTCACTTAGTTCCAAAAAACATTTGTGGTAAAAAGATACATACAGAAAAACCAATAATTAAATGAACAGAGCAAAATCAAAAAGACAAAGTAACAAAAGAATAAAAAGAACCCACTAACCAATTCATACACAGGAAGTTAAAGTGATGTCAATAAAAAATCAGCTGTCTGATAAAGATCATTGGAAATACCATTAAAAAGTGAATCAACTCAGAACTATACTTGAAGGAGGTGGAAAAATAAAGCATATAAATACATTTTTAAAAAGTAATGTAAATAACTTAATGGGTAAACAAAAGGCTACTGCAAAATAAGCTTGAAACCTAAACCGGAGGCTGGCATCAGTGATGAAATGCCTTCCTCAGCATCAGATATTAAAACGATGCAATTCGGAAGGTCCTGGGTCTAAAAACATTAGGGATGCTGCTTCCCAACAGCTGTAGGGGTATGAAGTTCACTAACATAAATAGGAAACCAGAGTATAAACGTGTGTGTGAATGTTTATATATGTGTGTGTGAATGCTTATATATGTGTGAATGTTCAAGCATATAGAGAGATCAATTAATCCAAAATTTGTCAATAGACATCAGTTTAAAATCCGGATAATCTTGTGTAATTCTTTTCAAACTTATGCTCCCACCAGAAGCGACTATAGTACAAACAGGCTTCAAAAACCAGTGCAAACTTTCAAAATCAACATTTTCTGAATCAACTGAGTTACAGGATTCAAAGGATACTTACTGAAATAAGTTTATATACATATCCACATCCCGCATATCTGCTTGCAACCAATCTTTCTTAAATCCAAGGACAAGTGTATTTGGTTTCATACGCCCAAGACCAGCAGCCTAAAATGTAGGGAAAATATAACTTTAAAGATACGCTATTCAACAAAATTTATTTTAAATGAGGAAACCTTCCAAATGGACAGCCTCAAACATTTTTAAATTATGTATCCTTACCAGCAAACATTCTTGAGCATCTAATATATGCATATTTAAAATTATACATACATTAATCATATATTAAGATTAAACATTTACAAAAGTAGAAGATAAAATTAAATACTTGAAAAGTTGTAGGGGTACATTATTGTACTTTAATGACTTATCAAAATTTTCATGTATTTAGTAAGAGGAAGATGATGGAATATATTTAACCTTTTATAAAACTCATGATACAATGGTACTCCCAGTTATGTATTTTTATAGGCATTAAAACTTAGAGGCAAAAGTCCAAATGAAGGCATTCACTATTGGTTGCAGTTTTGAATCATATAAATACTAAATTTTGAATTCTTTCTTCCAATCATGTAAAAGCTTCTGCTGAAATTTGGCTAGTTGAGTTCCTTCCTCAACTGTTTATCAGTTTTTCTTGCAACTTTATCAAGAGTTGCAATTCAGTATGCTTAACAGATATGTCCCCAAATCCAATAAATCTCTTCTTCTGTAAGATTTCAAACACTGATTTTTAAGCTTCATTACATATTTTCAAAACTTCATCACTTCAAAAATTCTGTAACCATAAGTAATAGTTACTCATTCTCTCCTCCTTCCAGACCCCAATAACTAATCTATTTCTGTCTCTTGAATTTGCTTATCCCAGATATTTCAGAAAGTCATTCCTTTTTATGGCTAATACTCCATGTATGTATATGTGTGTACAAACACACATACATTTTTTTTTATACATTCATCTGCTGATGGACATTTAGGTTGTTTCTACCTTTTGGCTGTTGTGACTAATGCTGTAGTAAACATTGGCATGTAAGTTTCTTTCTGACTCCCTGCTTTTAATTTTTTTAGGAATACAGCTGAGTAGAACTACTGATCATATGATTAGTTCCATGCTTAGCTTTTTGAGGAACCACCAAACTGTTTCCCATAGTGGCTGTGGCATTTACATTTTCACAAGTTATGCACAGGTTCCAATTTCTGTGCATCTTTCATAACACTTGTAATTTCCTGTTGTTTTGTTTTTATTTTTGTTTTTAAATAACAGGCATCCTAGCAGTATAAAGTGGTATCTCATTGTGGTTTTGATTTGCATTTCCCTAATGACTAGTGATATTGAGCATCTTTTCATGTGCTTATTAGCTATCTTTGTATCTTCTTTGGAGAAATGTTTACACAAGTCCTTTTTCCCTTTTAAAAATTGGGCATCCTTCTGTTTAGGAGTTTAATGTATCTTCTAGATATTAAACTTTATCAGATACATGATTTGCAAATGTTTTCTTCCGTTGTAGGTAGTCTTTCAATTTTCTTGATAATGCCCTCTGGTACATAAAGTTTTTAATTTTGATGAAGTCCAATTTATCTACTTTTTTTTTCTGTTACTCATGCATTTGATGTCATATCTAAGAATCCATTGCTACATGCAAGGTCATGATGATTTACCTCCATGTTTTCTTCTAAGCGGTTTATGGTTTTAGTTCTTACATTCAGGAGAGTGATCCATTTTTGAGTTAATTTTTGTATATGGTGTGATGTGGCACTTGTTTTTACAGGTGACATACTTAATATTTTTACAAAAAAACTAAATTAATTCAAGTATTTATCAAGTGCTGACCCTGTGCTAGATATTGTCCTAAGGACTTGAGATAATCAGGGAACAAAAGAACTATTTCTAACCATGTAAAGTTTACATTCATTTTCAAACTGACCTGTATACAAGTTTCTTTCAAAAAACAAGATTTTTTTTCCACTCAGTATTTAAAACAATGCTTTCTTTTCAAGTTTCAGATAAAAAATATTCATTTTTCTTTTTTAAAACTTAGGTAGCAAGGTAGCCACTAACCACATAGTATATTTTCATCCACTCCCCCTATCTTTTTTGGTAAAAGAAAGCCAAGAAATTATCTTTAAGTTTCATAGCTTTCAGAAAACTAAGCCAGAAGATCACTAGTAACTTCCTGATAGTACAAAATACTGTCAGTTATTCCTTTTCTCATCAGACTTCTTACATTTAAAAGGTTCATTTTTTATGAAATTAACAATAGCAAACTTATAACAATTAAAAGGTTTTATTTTTATGAAATTAACAATAACATCCTGTGGCACTCTGTGCACTTCTGCTTTCAACTTCATTATTTCAATAACTTCCCCTTCAATGAGCAAAGACATTTCACAAGTATCACTCACCCTTAAATCCTTTGTAAATTCTAATCAAAGTAGCTATTTAATGAGAAGTAACATTTTCAGTTTCCATAAAACAGCATGTGTTTTAGGAATAATTTATTACTGAAAATACGTCTTCTCTGGAACATATTTCTTTAAATGGTTCAGAGAAAACTACTGCTTTGTGGAATTTCATAATTGAAATTGGTCTGGCAGAATAGCAATCATCTGAAGCTTACTACACATATTTCTAGTTTCAATCACACATTCCTACTGTGCTCTTTATTTCTTTGAGCTTTTTGTAATGTTTTCCATGCATCTTCCACCAGAATTTGTTGCCAAGAAATGCATTTAGTTTGTTATAACATTTTTCTATGTATCTAATAATCATTTTTACTGCACCATAAAAGATAGCTGTTTCCCCAATGGTATGTGGCTTTTTTTTTTGTCTTTCACTAATAGTAAAAACATTTTCAAATGCCACACTTAACTATTTAAATTAAGTCCTGCCATGAGACTTGTATTACTTTAAAAATTACTGAAAAAAATTGCAGTTTTGGTTAGATGTTGTGTATGGTCAATTTTGAAATGTTTAGTAACAGTAATATGCCTTAAATTATCATTAGTTAACATCTCATGGCATTATATACATTTAGGATGAGGCTGTAAGGACATGGATATAATTTACTTTTCCAAATATTCTTATTGACAATGTAAAATTATTCCAGTTTACTTATTTTAGAAGAATTTAAAAACATCACTGTTTACCTCAAAATGTGGCTGATAGAGACAAGGTATCAGAAAACACTTAGCACATATTACACAGTATAATTTTAAGCTATTTTTTTGCCCAGGAAAAAAGGCAAAATTATCTCCACATTGAGACTAAATGAAATCACTTCACTTTTAAGGCCACCATGATGTCACCTGACCACAAGAGACTTTTAGTCTTTAAAATGAACTCTCTAAAATTGGACTGACAATCAAGTGGTTTCTGCCATTTAAAAGACAAATCCAAATACACAAAGAAGTTAGCAGTGCTAATGTCTCACTGACAAGGGGCTCCCTAAGCAAGGTATCTATTAGACCACCTCTAAAATTAGTGAATCTCAAGTTCTGTTGTGGAGGCTGGATACTTACTGGTAATTTAATGATAAATAAATGTTTATGATTATAATTAGTAACTAGACAACTCAGGGGACAAAGCAATGAAAAGTCAGAATGTATGACATAGTAAAGCATAACAAAACCATCAAAGAACAGCATCTCTAGAATTAGAAAACAGGTTACTGTAGAAAGAAATCAATGTATAAAAAACTATTTTGACAAAGATTATAAACCTCCAGACATACAGACATTTGCCACTTTTTATAATTGGTTTCCAGAATGTACAAAGCGAAGATAAATACTCTCAGTGACAATTTATACTACTGGTTTGAATGATTATTCTACAGAGGCAACTCACCTGTTTGTAAGGCTATGTTATATAGTTCCTCATATACCTCTGCCACTATAACAAAGCCAATCTCCTGGGCATCTTCATAAGTGCTTACATTTGCCAGGCTTACAGATATGACACTGCTGTACATATCCTAACCCTGCCCCACACTACTGTCATTACCCACCGGGGTGAATACCTTAGGTGGTAGGCAATGACGGGGCAGACAGGTCCGAACCCTCATCAGATTGATGATATTATCACTGATACTACTGAAACCCTCAAAAGTGGAGGTTCTCGGAGTGCAGTGCCTGGATTGGACCAGCAGCAGCGGGGGCACCTGCAAGCTTACAGAAATGCAAATTCTCAGGCTGCACCCCAGACCTACTGAATCATTCATTCCAAAGGTCAGGTCTGGCAGTCTCTTATCACAAGTCATCCAGGTGGTTGGGATGCATGCTTAAGTTTAAGAACCATTGTTCTAAGGGAATATTTTCCTTCATTTTCTTCAAAAGATTTACTAAATACATAAGCACTTATCAAAATGTTCCTATAAAATGTACAAATACAAGCAAGATTTACCCACTAGAAACAACCTCATGACCAGGGATAGAATTTTACTTGAATATTTAAATATTTTGCATAAAGAAGTGAATAAAGAATAAATAATCATGTATCCACCACTTTGCTTAAGAAACATCACAAAGTAAACATCACAACATTAAGCACCTTATGTATCCTTCTCATGCCTGCTGTATATTTTTACTATGTACTCCATTATTTAGGTATATGTACATACATACATATACATTTTTCATTTACATATTTTAAAAAATCTATAATATGTTCATATTGTTCACATCTTTCTCCGCCTTCAGTTTTTGAGGTTTATCTCCGTTGCTATGTACAGCAGCTCCTTTTTCACCCCTGCAGAGAATTCCACTGCAGGATTTTACAGCTGTCGATTATGTGATTGATGGTTGTTGAAGTCACTTTCATTTCTTTTTCAGTATTACAAATGATGTTGCTATGAATACTTACATACAACGTTCTTCACATGTATTAAAAGTTTCTCTAAGGTACATACTTAAGTATGTAATATCCTAGGATAGCCACACTTCTAATGCTTGGAATTGGCAGACTTAATTTTAGTCATTCTAATGGGAATGGAACAGAACTTTACTGTGATTTTAATTTTTGTCATTTAGGTTTCCTCTTCTTTTCTTATATTTTTGCTCCCTTTTTTTCCCCTCTCTTATGTAGTAGTATTTCTTTATATACCCTGGACCATACTCTTTGCTAATAATATGCTCTTTTCCTGGTATCTTTTTGGTCTGTGGCTTTTTCTGCCTTCATGTTTTCTTCAGATGTACAAAGTTCTAATTTTAACTAAAAAATAACTGATCTCTTCTTCATAGTTCAACTTTTTATACCTCATTTTTAAAAAGTTCTTCCCTAGCCAAAGTTCATAAAATTATTCTGAATTTTCTTCTAAAAGTTTAAAGGAATTTACCTTTCATATTTAGGTCTTTAATCCATCTGGAAATGGTTTTTGTGTGTGGTCTTTGTAAGGAACTGTTACTATTGTTTCACATGGATAATCAATTGTCCCAACCTATTCTTTCAATTCCACCTCTGTCATATATTAAATTTCCTGTATGAATGGCCCATTTTTTCTGTTTTGTTCCATTAGTCTAACTGTCCATTGCTACTTTAATATCACAGTACCTTCATTACAATGATTTATGATAAAGCTTTATGTCTGCAGAGCAAACCCCTCCCACATTTAGTATTCCTGAGGATGGCCTAGGTTCTTCTTAGCCCTGTGCTTGTCAAATTTTAAGAAAAACAAAACAGAAAGGACTCAGGTGACAGCACTCCAGGCCTCCCACCTCTACTGCAACAAAGCAGCTCTACCATCAACACAGTGACTGGGTCAAGCTTTCTTTTGAAGAAAAGGATTCCTATAAAAGTAAGTTGGCAAACACTGTCTCCACCCGTTTATTTCCTCCAGAACCTTTAGGGCTGGCTGAGGTTCTGAGCTTCAGAGAAATTAAATAACTTGTTTAATCCAAAATCCATAATAAGGAAGTGGCAGGGCTATCACTTAAACCTAGGACTGATTCCAAATCTCATATTCTGGCTGCTATGCCATACACAAAACCAAAAGGGAAGTCTAAGTTTAGTACTAGTGAATAAATAGTGAGAAATACAATACAGAACAGAACTAGAATGTAAAAAAAAATAAGGACCGCCATTACTTAACAATCTAACAAAAAAACCCGGTGAGTTATAGCAGAATAAATGGGAAGAATCTTAGAGAAACAGGCTAAGATATTTACAAACTGGTTCTTCACTGTCAGCCATAGCACATTGTTTCTATAACTCATTTAGCTCTAAAATTATATAAATCTTAGTCTACTTTAATAAAGATATTTTAAATTGACCATTTGAATGAATATGAAAAATGAAACCTAGAATGCTAAGCTTTATAATGCTTACAAAAAACTGAAATATTGTTATTTAAAGCGCTAACAAATTACCTGCATCAAATACTGTGCACCTTCTCTCAAGTCATCTGCATGTACTGGAGCATAAAAACCCTTCATTTTGTTTTTAATGAGCCATCGCTGATACTTGGCTTGATCAATGGACATCTCTTTCATGGCTTGTCTTCGAGGGCCCTTTTAAGGTAAAAATATTAACAGTATCTTTAATTGTAAGGTAATCTATTTTCCACATTTATAAAGGTCATCCTTTTAAACTGGCTCAAACAAGGAGCCTAAACATTGGGGATGAGGGAGAAAAGTACAGCAGCATTCATTTTCATGTCAGTGAATGTTTTCTAACACTTAAAGATTATGGAAAGATAGAGCTGATAGAATAGTTAATGCATTGGGGATGCCAGTAGAAGGGAGAAGAGAAAAAAGGACAGACTGAAAATAAACAGTAAGTTTTTTATACTAAGTAGATGAGAGAAAGTAGAAATTACTGAAAATGGAAGAGATTACATAGACAAATAAGTGCTTTCTGTTTTTTGTTTCCCACCTTCTTTTTGTCTGTCCCAAACATCTGAGTTACTAATTCTCGGTAATATGGAAGTATCATTGAAAATACATGTGAGCTATATAACATAAATGTATTTTTTTCTTCTTATTTCTGTTACATGATGAAATAAAAGGAAATGAGCTTTTTAAATTTGCAATTCTATTTTGACCATTGCAAGCAAAACATAAAATGTACTATACACAAATGTATAAAGCAAAATGTAAAAATAAGTTTAAGATTACACATGAACCAATTGCACATGAATAAGGAAAAATACAATTTATCTTTCCTTATAGGAAAACTGCCCCATTTGTAATTACTTCTGCTCAAGACCCCAACTTTGAGAAACACTGAAAACTCCACAGGTCCTGAGTCAGGCCAGTGTCTCAGTGTTTCCCCAAAATGGCATTGCTACACTGGGGCCACAAGTGAAGAGCAACTCTAGCAGGGGCTCAGACAGCCGGCATCCAACACACATTTCTAGCCCCAAGAACAAGATGAACTTGGACACTATGGAGAAAAGCTAATCTGACAAATAAATATTCTAAAGAATCTTTTCAATTGCCCAGATGCTAAAAACAGAAAAGTGCTTTTGGATGAATGTTTAACACTATTTTTAATAATTTTTCTTAATAATGGTCAAAACAAAAATTAATGGGCAATTAAAAGTGCTTGAATTTGGAAATTCAGCAATCCACTGTGCTTAGACACTGGATACTAAATATTTACCATGAATTGTCTACCTCTTCCAACATTTTTTTCTGGTGAATAAATGTTCCTAATGTTCTCAAGACTCTATGAGAACTATCAGTAAGAAAAACCCATACTGGGTTTAATATAGGCTCCTTAGTCATTAAGAAGCTATTTGTTTTGGCCAAACTTATCTACATGGGCAACACAGTTTGCTGAAATATCATAATAAATAAGAAAAACAATAAACGTTCAAAAATTCAAAATCTTTTTTTTAAGAGTGAAATTTTAGACAGTTATAGAGGCAAAAGTAATTTTTTAAATTTAATTCATTTTCCTAGTTATATATTTGTGCTTTTTATTTCTATGGAAAGGGGTCCCAGAAATAGAATTGCTAAATTGAAGTTTATCTGAATTCTTAATTTTTTTTTTTTGGTATCGTTAATGTACAATTACTTGAAAGACATTATGGTTACTAGACTCCCCCTATTATTAAGTCCCCCCAACATACCCCATTACAATCACTATCCATCAGCGTAGTAAGATGCCTTAGAATCATTACTTGTCTTCTCTGTATACACTGCCTTTCCCGTGTCCCCCCGCTGCTACATTATGTGTGCTGATCGTAATGCCCCTTTTTCCCCCTTATCCCTCCCTTCCCACCCATCTTCCCCAGTCCCTTTCCCTTTGGTAACTGTTACTCCATTGTTGGGTTCTGTGATTCTGCTGGTGTTCTGTTCCTTCAGTTTTTTCTTTGTTCTTATACTCCACATATGAGTGAAATCATTTGGTATTTGTCTTTCTCTGCCTGGCTTATTTCACTGAGCATAATACTAGCTCCACCCATGTTGTTGCAAATGGTAGGATTTGTTTTCTTCTTATGGCTGAATAATATAAAGCAAAAGATTTTGAAGAAAAAAACTACCTTCAAAAAACCCCAAGCAAATCCAATGGATTTATCTTGTCAAATTATTTCACATCTAGAACCCCCCGAGACTACAAATTATATACACAGAGTGAAAAAAGATTTACTATAAAAACTAACACTTACCATATGTACATGACCACAGATCATCAAACCAACATTTTTTGTGAAATCATGAACAAGATGAAGTAAAGCTGGGCGTGAGTTTGGAGCACCTGTCATAACAAGACACTGTGGCCTAATATGAAATTAAAAGAAAAAAACAGAGAGAAGTTTAGGCTTTGGGGACATAATTTTAAGTTGCTTCTCTAAGAATATGTGATTACACTATTATCTCCTTTATGCAGCTGTCTTCAAGGTCACAGGCCACAGGATTCTCATTTAGAGAAAAGGACTTTTAACCCAGGTTTCTTATACATGAGAAATTCAGGAAAAAAACCTTGTTATAAACATCATGCCAATGTCCTTCTATAATAACAGGTAATATTATAAATCAAGATTCTGGGTTAACAGAAAAAAATGGCCATGCTAGTTAAACATGTAATGGCTTTCATCTTCTAAAGGTAATAAATACTGCATTTCTTTCAGAAAGTTCATAGAAGTTCCTGAGGGCATGACCTTGCTGTCCTGTACAAAAGGGGTCACTTTTCTTCTGGCTTGATCACCTCATCATTACCTATACTTTATAGTATCCGCACTTTCTTATCTAGCTTAATCTAAATCACTGTTGTTGTATCAGTAAAACCACCTATGGTAAAGAGAAGATTTCTATTTGGACTAAAAGTTTTAATTCTAATTAATTACGCTGAAGCCGAAATTGAATTCAGTTTGCCTTTGCAAACACAAGACAGTGGCAGGACTTTCATATATTTGTAGCTCTTGATTTTCACTGACTAGAAATGGAAATCGATCTTGTTTGATGAAAAAGTGTTCAAGTATCCATTTTATAAGTTCAAACAGATTAGTAAAAATTCTTTAAAACAAGAACTTATATAATTTAAAAAAAACTTTAACGAAAGCAAATAGATAAAATATCTGACTTAATCACTAAATTACTTGTTAGGGTAGTTCCTAATTATTCTTATACAATTAACATAAAAATCTGAATTAAAAAAACTGTCTTGGAATTTCAGCAAGCTAGCTGAAAAACCAATTCTGTCTGGAAGAATTGCTTTGTAGAAACTAAACAGGAAATCATCCTCTATGGCTGACTGTTAATAGTCCAGTCTCTCTACCTGAATGTCAGCAGGTTCATGGTTCCCCAGCTAGAGCTTATGTTTCCTAGCTCATCTAGCAGCTCAGAGTGGCCCTGGGACTGATGTACACAGCCCATACAGTGTTCCTATTTCCAGATCATATTCTTTAAAATGGAAGCTGGCCATTTCCGTACTTTCTTTTCCTCTCCTGTAAGTTAGACGATGGATGCAGTGATGACTTTGACCACATGGACAAAAACACTTACTGGGCAAAGGCAGACTGATAAGACAGATCAAGGAATGTGATACCTGAAGGCCAAATGCAGCAAGTCTGCCTACCTGCCGTGAGACAGAAACCTGCCTCTGGACCATCGCATAGCACCAATTTTTGTCTTGTTTAGTCACTGTATTTTTTCAGCTTTTTTTTAGGGTGGTTTAACATACACTCTAATATAACCTATTACTGTGGGAAATTAACTTGTAGCCCCTATCTTTACTAAATAGCAAATATACCACAAAGGCATAATTTGGTATAGTTTTATCAAACCAAAAAAGATATAGTACAGAATATATCAGGGATGACTGAGTATAAATGAGAAAGTATGAACACCTGCCTTCCTTTTTTACCTCTTTCCTCAAAGATCTCCATGATTATGTATAATCGGAATTTATCACAAAAAATATGGAGAACAAGAGAAGACATAATAGCACTGAAATACTGAAAGCTAGAAAGCAGATGGAAGAAGAATAAAGGGTTTGACAAATCAGGAAAAGGCTGGCTGAGCATAAGAGGAAACCGTAAGACTGACTGTGCACCGAGAAGTCACCAGGGTGCTTAGGCGCTGGAGGCAGTAGGTCCCTCTGGTGGCGGCAGGGACAGCGCATTAAAGAAAGTAAAGGAACGGTTTGACCTTTGTGTGAGAAACACCTAGATCAACGCAATCATTCACATCACTATGATGAGCAACTTGCCTGTCCTGCCGCCACCCTGTTAGGCTACGGCTTACTTGTAAGAATGCCTCTGGTCTCGGAGCCCAGCAACAGCTCAGGGCAGAAGCAGCTACTTTAATAGGGAAGTGGGGAGAACATTTATATGCTGAATCCTAAGACCTCTGCATTCCTTCCCCACTCAGCTCACAGCTCTGGTAGCTAGGACTTTTTATCAATAAGCAGAAGACCAAGATTCCTTTCTGGGAAATGTAATCATGTCAAAAAATAAAGTCTTTAAAATGACTTAAATTTCTCAAAGAACAAGCAAAGCCACATTAATCTACACTAAGGGCTTCGCTGATAAGCCCCACCCACCAATGCAGAACCTCCCTGGCGAAGGATCACAGATAATGCAGACAAGCCTAAATCTGAGAACCTAAACTAGAGAAACAGGGAACAGTGAGAAACACTTCAAGGAAATAGAAACTACATCTTTTAGCAAATTTGGTAAAGGCTGATAGTGACAAGCAGGAAACTAAAAAAAGAAAGATTATTGGCTCTAGAGAAAGCAAGAAAGCTGCTCAGAGGAAATAAAAAGCAATCATAACTGACTACATGGCTCAGCTCTGAAGCATGTTTAAAAAGTCATAAAAGTATAAATACCAGGTATGATCTAATCACAATAATGGCATAGAAATATACTGAGAGGATGGGGTAAAGGGGAGGGCGTGTGTGTGTGTGTGTACACATGGATGAAGGACATTAACAAGTAATACCTAAAATTAAAAATTAAAAAGCGTAAGACAAGCATGTTGTTTGGGAGTCTGAAGCAAATCAAAACTAATCAGCTGAAAGTGGTTGCATGTAGTATGAGAAATAGGGACATGAGAAGTGGGGCAGCTACTAATTTTCATGACAAACCTAGGTTTTTCCTCTCTAAATTATGTTCATGTATAATTCTGATAAAAATTCAGTAAGACCATATTGGAAGAAAATACTTTTTAAGAAATGTTCCCATTACCACAGTAAGTCAGACCAACAAGCCTTTTATTGATGGCAGATTAACCTGACTCTTGGTCCTACTCTCAGTTCTGGGATACAACTTTTTACATAAAGGAATGATTTCTATTTTCCACCATACTTGGTATCAACTACTGAAATTGTGCTGAAATTCATAAGTGTCCTTCCCAGTGCTCTTATTCCTTTTTTATTTCCCAATTTCTCTCTACTCCAAATTTGAGGATCTGTGACCTGCTGGAACTTTTTATTCTAGAAAAAGGGGGCTGGGAGAGGAGGTACCCAAAAGAGTAACAGAAGGACACACAAAAGCTTTTCTCATTGGGAGAAATTCAGTAGAGCAATTTTCTTCCAGTGCTTATTCAGTCTTCAAGTTTCCTTAAAAAACATTTTTTCCCTTTTGGTTCAAGGATAAATATGAAACGTGTCTTTATTTATTATGCAAAAGCCAAAAAGTGATTATCATGATTACAGAAAGTCACCTGCTCACAGCCCTGAAACAAAATTTCATAGTTTCACAGAATATGAAAATGGCTGTTTATTAATTTTTTTAAAAAATGATAAACCTATGTTTAAGTATAAATAATAATCTATAATTCCTAAGACTACATAAGTAAATACTTCTGGATTTAGAGAAGGTGCTTTAATAACTAAATCTCACCAACCAATTATAAGAACCAGGTTAAATTAAGGAATAGTTTTTAAATTGATTACTGATAAACTATTTTAAGATAAAATATAAAGCCATTTATTGAGGAAAATAGTAATAAATGATGTTTAAGGCACTGATTCTTTATCACTGAAACTGGTTTCCATTTAGTCAATGATGAGACAGAAGTAACTAACATGAAATTATTTGGTGCCATAGTAAAATTACAAAATGAGGCATGTTAAAAATCTCTATGAACTTCATACTTAGTAATTATACAGTAGTTATATAACTTCAGTGGCCAAAGAAGGAAAAAAGTGTTCACCTTTTGACACCTATGAAGTTTTCAAACAAGAGATCTCCATCACTTACCATAACATTTTTGGTAAGGTGTATGATAATTTATCTTTTTGAAATTTTGATAACCAAGAAACCTCAAGCTTGTTTTTGAAGAAATTGCCCAAATCCAACCAAAACAGAAAACAGTATTATATGCTTTCAGAGAACTTTTCATCACATCAGCACACGAAAGTGTTACTGAACAGTAGGTGAAGAACTCAGTGTCGCCTACGATAAAATGTTCCTCTGTAACTTATTGCTTACCTAAAGTTTTTCACATGGTCTTCCACTCCTGAAAGACGAATTGAATGCTGCAGTGCGTTCAGGTAAGTGAGGGCTTGTGTAGAGGATCCCCAGTTCACATCTGTGGAAAGAGAGTGTTCATGCAGCATTAACAACAATATTAATAACAATCAATAACCAATTTAAGACAGAGAGAATTAAACAGTGCTTTCATATTTAAAAAGTCAACTGGTAAAACAAACCACTGCATTCAGAACTTTCAGTAGGTAAAGTCCATAGCATGACACCAGGACAATGCTAATACGAACTATAATTGCATTTAAAGAAAAAATACAATTTAGAAAAAGTCTATGGTGACAGGGCTGCAAACATGCTGTGCATGCAACTCAAAATAAACAAAACATTTAAAATTATTGTTATGTAGTCAAATGTCTAATGGGAAAGAGGCAGATCTCTGCAAGATGTTGGGTCTCTGAAAGTACCATTTACAGTACTTACTAGCGTGTAAATTATTTCAACAGGCAAAATTTTATTCCTTATTGTGTAAACAGCCTGGACACCAAATATGATTTTAGACATTTGCTACTGTAAAAACTTGACAGGTACATTAGAGAAATCATTGCATCTAAAATGGTTAAAACAATATCTTCTTTGTCCATTATCACTCTAATCTAAAACCTTACCGTCTCTTATCTGGATTACAAAATGATTCCTCACTGTTTAAAATGACTACACTGCAACTACTTATAATCTCTTCTTAATATATTCTGTTGGACCAAAACTGTTCAACCCTTTCTCCCTGGATCTTTATTCTGTGCTATAGGTTACCATACTGAACACTGGACAAATCCTAATATACTCTAGCATGATCTCCTTATGTGCAGACACACCCAGTAGTTTATCAGTCTGACTCATGCTAAGTAACGTTTAACTATTTCCTAATAAAAACGTGTTTGTTCTATTTTCCCTGCTATACATTACCTTGATGAGAAGATGCTATGTCTTCTGGTATCTTGTGAGTTCTATAATACTACAGCAAATACTAAGACCACAGTACTTAATACATATGCTTATTAGGTTAACAGCCACTACAGAACTGCAAATATAATCCTTTCAAAGAATGATTTTAAAATATATTGACTGCAACAGAATGTAAATTAGATGAACTTGCTATTTTTCTACAAGGAGGATTAAATTTAATTTATGGGTAAAAATAATTCCACAAAATAAAAGTCTTGTAGTAGTTATTTCATTAAAACTACATGTATCTGGGAATAAAGTATTTTAGGTTTTATACAAGGTACCTTTCAAAATACACAAAAGATTATGCTTAGATATGAAAAATAATGAATAACTTCTAGATGTTTACTAGCTTGAAATACTAAATAAAAAAGACTACTGACCTGGTTTTTTGTAAGTAACATAAATATACAGCCCAAGAACAATCACGTATGTCAGCAGTGCAGCCCACCAGTTGATGACAAACATCACTATGCAACAGAGTATTGCTCCAATAAGTGATATCCACATGTTGTAGTATTTGAATGCAGGGCGCCATCCTAACAATAACAAATAAAAAAGATAAATAAAGTCACTCAGATACCTCATCTGCTGTAGACAACAATATATATGTATGCAAAAAATTACTTTCTTTGTGGCTGTTATCCTGAGAGGACTTTAAACATTAAGTGTAAGGCTGACGTATAACAGTAAAGTCATAGAACATTACTGATCACAATTTCATGATATTTAATGGCCACAAGGAGGCATATTTGTTTACTTCCACATTATTCATACTAGTTCTGTATTAAACTTTTTAACCAAAAAGTTTAAACCAACCTACCCTAGTGAATGCTAAAAATAGAGAAGATTTAAGAAAGTAATATTCAAATTAAGTCCTTAAGAGCATGGCTCTGTTTTATGTTTTTTAGCATGGGACATCCGTATTTTAATATACAAAATAATTCTAACAAAATGTTCTTGAGAATCATTAAAAATTCATCTACTTGCTGGAAAACTAAGCGTTGACTATTGATACATATCTTTCCATTTGGTGAAGTATTTATGAATTGCACTCACTCTAAAAAGGGCTGAACACCATGTTTTAAAATTTTCATTCATAGGTAGTTCCATAGCCAAATTTTAAAAAATCATTTCAATACTTTTTTAAAATTAAACTTTCAATTTTGAGATAAATGCAATCACACAAAGTTGTAAGAATACAGAGACTCTGAGTAACTTTTACATAGTTTCTCCCGAAGACAGTATCTTGCAAAATGACACTGTAATATCACAACTAAGATACTAATATTGACAGTCATAATAAAGAATCCCATGTTGTCCTGTTACAGCCACACCATCTAAAATTTATATTCTTTAAGTAAAAATTGAAGCTACGATATTTGTGTCTTAACTTCTCATACTCATCTTTCTGTTCTAAGAGACTTTTAGATCCTCAGAAGGAACAGTGCTTTGTTCCCTCATTTCCTTCATTGTTGTCTCACTGTTGTTATGGTTTACAACCCAAAGCCCATAGCAGAAGCATATGGGTACTTTTTCAGTCGCTAGAACCCCTTGTATAGGAACTCCATAGAATTCATTGTGTTGAAAATATATGTACAGGTTAAACATATCATAATAATGTTCTTAGAACTGACACAGAAAACAGCTAAAAGACAATAAAAACAGGAAAAGAAAGCAGAGTAATTAGTTCACAGTGTTAAGTCAGAATTTGAGATTGCTATCTTAAATGCTTTGAAGATGAAAAACAGAATATCACCAGTAAACTTCATAACAAAGAGTTATTCGAAGACTCAATTTGACTCAACTGTAAAAAGAGAGTGAACATTAATAAATGTTAATCTCACATATACCACTTTTTAAAATTGGTTTAATTTTCTCTGAAATCAAAGACATTAATATTAACATATTTATAAAATTTTTTTAAATGTAAAATCACCTGGAGATTTTGCAAGTGATGCATGGAATACTGAGAAATTGATCAGTGCATATGATGCAAGGAAGAAGTTGGAGATAATTGGTGCAATAACATTCAGTTCAGCTGCAAAAGAAACAGTAGGTGTATTTATTGACATATTTGACATTTTTTAACTTTTTAAAATTATGAAATCCCTTCAAAGCTTTATATTATAGCATAATGAACATCCAATATCCACCATCCAGATTTAATGAGTACAGATACTTTGCCATATATACTTCATATACTTTACTGTTCAGAAATCAAGTCTTATGTACACAGCGAAACCCCTTTAAATTTTATGCTTTCAAATTTGGAATATTCTTTCCAGTAATACTATATAGTTTTACCACATGCCTATATAGTCCATAAGCATTGTTTTACTATTTTGAGTATTTTTAAAGTTACATAAATAATATCATACTTTACATGTATCTGCAATTTGGTTTTTTACATTTATATTTGAGATTCATCCACACTGATATATGAAAACCAAGTTGGTTCACTGAGTATTATTCTGCAGTTTCATTCTTCTGTTGATAGGTGTTCAGATTGCTTCCATTTCTCAGTTTAATGATTAATGACACTGAAAATATTCTTATATATGGCTCTTTGGGTCTACATGCCAGTTTCTCTAGGGTACATACCACTAAGGAGAACTGCTGGATTGTGGGAAACTTCACTAAACACCGGCAACTTGTTCTCCAAAAGTAGCCATAACAAATACATACCTAGCAGCATTGTAAGACAGTTAGTTTCCACACTTGGTGGTAAAATTACACTTAAAATAAAAACCCATTAGCTCAGTGGTGACCAGAGACAAAAGTGGCAAAAAGTGGAGGCTCTACCTTCATGGAGGACACTGGAGTCCTTTTCCTTATGCTACCATATTTGTTTTATGGACAGAAACTAGGAGTTCCCTTAGCCCTACCGGGGACTTAAAAAATAATTTTAGCCAATATGTACACTGAACACTATTATCTGCTGTATTTTTCTAAACACTCATTCATATGATCAGAAAGAAACTTAGTATACTAGACAGAGTAATGTTCTGTTTATAATATAGTTCAATGTTTATAACTAATACTATAAATGCACCAAAATCTACATTAGCACACCATCTATATGACTAACCAATTAAGATGAAGCCAAGTGCAATTAAGAATGTTAAGATGTAGCCACGAAGAGGTTCATTATTTTTCCCATAACCTTTAGCAAACATCTGGAAAGCTGGATAGATGTTGTCCTTACATAGAGCCTAGTGAAGAAATTGTAAACATTAAAATGAAATGCAATGAAGTTAGACATACAGAACTGCTTATAGTTACAATATGCTAATCAGAAATGGAACCCAAGTTTCTAATTTTTAGTCCTCTTTCTTTCCCATGCTGCACTGCTTCACCTACAAACTGTAATGGAGATCAAACATTTTAAGCATCAAAAGATAGATGGTTTAGAAAAACCACCGAAGTTTTTGTCTGCCTTATGCCACCCCCATGTTGAAATTCTTTTATGAAGAAAAAATCAGAGGAGCAGGCATACAAATAAAAGAAATTTGGAAGCCTGATGAATATGACATATATGTGACCTCTACACCTTTACTGTTTTCGCTGGCTAGTACTACATTAGGAATAAGGCTACAGAACAACATTTGTTTGATTTAGTAATAGAAAGAATTTCCTATTATCAGCTATTTGTTGAATGCTCATTAAAGTGAGATAATGTCTGTCTTGTTCATCTTTATATCCTGAGCAGCTAACACAATGTGTGGCACACAGGCATTCATATATGTGTAAAATAAAGCATATAGGTTGGCATCATGCTAATAGGGCAAGATCCTTAAATTCTTCTACTTTATGTCTTGAACTGTATTCCTTATCCTCAGTAAGACAATATAAACATTTATGCCAACAAATTAAGTCAGAAAAACAAAATTCCATTACTATTTCCAAAAAGACAACTCAAAGATTACACTGACAGTAAGTTAATGCACAAATGTTTATGCAAGAATACATATTCACATTCATATACATAAAATCACATATACTTGTTTCAATATGTGCATAGGTATCATATACATATATGGGGTTGACAGAAGTAAACAAATAATTTGAAAATATTAACAATCTAAAATCAAGATGTATTATCTTAATTTCCCCTTTAGTAAAGCTTGTAATATGAAAATACTTACTTGAAATATTTTGGGAGCACTCACAAGGGATGCTAATGCAGAAGAAAGAGTTGCTGAAAAGATACCCGCAGAAATTAATGGTGCAAATCCTGACACCATACTCATCACCTTAAAAAGTGACAATGGAAAAATAAGTCTTACAAACAGTTCAAGTACTTATACATCTTTATTATTTCAATGAAGATGGCTAATATCAGGGAAAATTTTGTGATAAACAATAACAATGTTTATGTGCATTTTAAATTTCTGAAAAAGATTTACCACTAGCCCTTACTTTAAAAACATCTTTTTATTTGGTAAAATTTCAAAGACACACAATGGCAGAGCGAATAGCATACTAAACCACTGAATATCTATCACTCAGTTTCAACAATGACCAACTCAGGACCAATCCCCATATTACTGTGCATCAAACTTCAGATATCATTTCATGCATATATGTTTCAGTAAATACCTCTGATAAGAACTTTAATTAAACTACAAAAGCCATTGTCACAGCTTAAAAACTGAGTTATTCCTTAAATATTCAATAATCAGCATTCAAATTCCCTAAACTGTCCCTCTTTTCTTGCTTTTGAGGCACAATTTGTTCAAAGTAAGATCCACAGAAGGATTACACGTTACATTTGGTTGATAGATCCTTTAAGTCTTTTTCAATCTACCAGTTCACCCTTTCCTTTCCATTTTATTTTTATGTCATTTCTCCTAGAGAAACCCCACCCTCTGGATTCCGCTGACGGTATCTCCAACTTGTCTCATTTACTCTGCTCCCCTCATCTCTGTATTTCTAGTGCACAGGCAGGTAGACCAAAACAGTTCATTAGACTGAGATACAAGTTTTCCAGCAAAAACATTTCAAGGTGCTGTGATATACTTAGGATTCTGGTGTTTCTTCTTGATGTTAAGATAGTAGATCGATACTGTGGTTATGTTTTTTGTTTTTAAAGAGAGTCCTTAACTTTAGAGCTAAATGTGGGAAGACTTCCAGCTGAAAAGATCTAAGTCTAGGATTTGCTTCTAAGTAATTTGGGAAGTGGGGCATTATAAATAAATAAATAGATAGATAAAAATAGCCATGCAGTGATGACTGATGACACTGGAAAATGTACACATTAAGTACATCATATTGCTTTCTCTGTGTTTATGTTAAAATATTTCTCTATGATGGTTTTAAAAAACAGATTGATGACTTACATCACGAGAAGACAATCAGATAAATCCAAACTGAAGGGCACAATGTAAAGTAACTTGCCTGGACTCTTCAAATTGTCAATGTATTAAAACATTAAAATGGACAGGCTAGAATTCCTCTAGATTAAAGGATTTTAAGATAACTAACACACATGACAACTAAATGTTATAGGTGATCATAGATTGGATCATGGATATGGGAAAAATAGCTATAAAGGACATTACTGGAACAAGTGGGGAAATATAAATATGGAAAATAAATTTAAATAAGTGTTTATTAATGTATTAGGTGGGACAACTGTACTGTGCTAGTACATGATGTTTTAAATACCCCATACTGTCATTATGTATATAATTTATTTTCATGTTTGAGGAGAATAAGAATATACAAAGGTAAAGCAAATGGGACAAAATATAAATGATTAGTGAATACAAGTGAAGGGGTAGGTACACCGGTATTCACTGTAGTGTTCATTTGAAATTTGTGCAAATAGATTAGTAAGGTGGAAGAGTGTCTGATGGGTTCAGGCACTATCAGCTTGATCCATTGTAATGATCATCGCCTAGATTCATTACTTCATTAGTAGGGATTTACCTTTCATTTACACTGACCCAGACCATCACAGTTGACTATGACTTCGTATTTTAAACCAGATGTAAAGTTAGCTATGGGCACAACCACTGGCCATAATGCGTAATTCTGATTTCCTGTGTACATAAACCATCTTGTTTCACTTAAATGTCTCTCCCTGTATCTTCCAGAAGACTTAGTGGTAAAAATGAAGAACACATTAAGTGTTTTAAGAAATATTAGCATTGACTTCTCTGAGACTCTTAGGGAGAAAAACAAACTTGTGAAGATGATTTTCCATTCAGCCCTTTAAACAATGTAGTAGTTACATGGATGCCATACATTTTTCATAATCAATATTTTTCAGTTAGTGCTAGATTATCTAGCATTGCCAGCCATGTCTTTAGGGAAGGACATTGTAAAGGACAGCTAGACTAAGGTAAAAAAAATGAGCAGACTTGATTTGTGCTATATATACTCAGCAGTTTATACAGAATTTCATGCCTCTTAGTAAAAACCTCAAATAAGTGTGAAGAAGACAGGAGACAAATGGACAAAAAAGTGGAGAACAGAGATGTGATATACTCTTGGAGTAAGGCAAACTGACACAACCAATGTTACATATAACTGTAACCTTTCTCATCTTCCATGTTTTGAGGAAAAACAGCCATTTTCTCCATTTTCTCTGCTTCCTTTACCTCTGAATTGAGGTAGATAATGCTTCATGCTTAGCATCTGGAACACTGTGCTTCCAGGATTTGTGAGCTTCCTGTCTTCTAGTCATATATTTACCCAATCACGTCTGCATTTCTGACCATTTTATGGTAAAATGAGTAGAAGGATAATAATAATGAATACAAATAATGGTAATATCTGTGTTGTTCACGATATAGAGCAGAAACAAAGATCAAAAAAAAAAAGATGGTCCTTTCCTAATAGTGGGGAAAAAAGACAAAAGCTAATGAAAGGTAAAAAAGTTGCAAGTAAGATGAACGGTGATATTTTGTGTGATCGGGATGTGTGTGTGTTGATGACTTGGGGTTGAAGAAAATCTTCATGGAGCTGGGTTTCCTTGAAACCAAGCAGATTTAGATGTATAAAAGAAAAAGCAGCTGCATTCCAAGCACAATGAAGCACCTAATAAAAGACCCAAGTAGAGCAGGCATGTGTGCATGTGTACGTACACAAACATGAAATCACTGCAGTTTAGTCTCAACAGAAAACAGTGGACATAAGTTTGGGTATGACACTTAAGGCCTTTGACTGACAAAGCAAAGAAGCTCACATTTTGTTTATTAAGTAATGGTGAGTCAGAGGTTTCAGAAAACATTACCATGTAGAAAAACAATATGAAACATACGATTATATCTCAAAACTAAAAGTTCAATACAAACAGGATGACTCAAATCACTTTTCCTCCTTAAGTATGAAAAGTCAATTGTATGCAAAACAGCATTATACACAGTGTGGCTCTGTATAGATTTCATGACAGGACTGCAACTTATATGCTGCTCAGATAATGTTCTATTCACCATTCTTTTCACTGTCCAAATCACAAGCAATTTGCATTTCTACAGGATTTTTTTGCATTTTATATTGCTTTAGTTTTTAAAAAAATTTTACTTAAATTAGAAAAGCAACTTTACATATACCAAATTCTTCTTTGCTTGGATGAGTCCTACTAGATGTGATAAAGACAACATACTTTTATATTTTAAGGCAACAACACAGAAATCTAATTGGCACTTGCAACCACCAAGCAGAGACCAACATTTTGTGCTTTTCATACACAATATCAATGTCAGAATTGGCCTGAATCATTAGCTGGACATGAATACTTTCTTTCATTCCTACGATTTGCCTAGTCTTGTGACTAGAAAACAAACTTCTATTACATAATTGGGTTCAATATTTATGACCACTGAAAGTGCAATCAACTGCTTGAAACCATACAATAGAAAAATAAAAATAATGCCACTGAAAATTTAATTTACAAGATTTTATTGTAAAGTTTAATTGTTCTACATAAAATTTATACTGTTCTGAAATACATTAAATCCTCAACCATTCTGTTTATGTTTACATAATATTGAAAAAAAACACTAGGAAGCAAAATTTTATTTCTCAGTTTGAATTAGTACAACTGTATTATATAAATTTATCATAGATTGTTTTAATCTCTTGAATCTACACCTCTATGTTCTTTTTCTAGTATCCTAGGACTTAATAAGCAACTCTCAAAATTATCCTCCAGACAATCTCTTCTCAGTTTGTACAAACCTGTAAATTTTACAAAAATTTCATTTTGCTTTCAGTACTTTATAGAGATAATAATAAAAGGCAGAAAGACTGATATTCTCCAAATACTTGAAAAGTAATACTTATCTTTACATACTTCATATGTTTTAAAAGGTTGTAAACTTGCAAGCACCCATTAACAATTCTATTAAAAGGTAGTGTGGTTTAGCACAGCATGACTATATGGGCCATATTAAGTAACACTACTGATACCGAAAAAAAACACACACACATATATATATATTTATACACAAAGCAATCATGGAGACACATCCAATTAGAAAACTGAACTCCTTTCAATTAGTATGGATTTAAAATGTTCAAAATAAAAATGAAATATGTAGGTGTAAAGCTAAGAAAATATGTACAGAATTTGTATTCTGAAAATTACATAATGCTGATGGAAGAAATCAAACAAGGTATAAAAAAATGGAGAAACATTCCTTGCTCATGCACTGGAACACTCAATGTAGTAAACAAGGCAATTCTCCCCAGATCAGTATAGAAGTTTCATACAGTTCCATCAAAATTTCAGCAGGAATTTTTGTAAATAAATTAAGACTGTTCTAAAATTTATACAGAGAAATCAAAGGAACTAAAACAACTACAACTTTGAAAAAGGATAATGTGGGAAGAATCCACCTACCTGGCCTCAGACCCATGTTTTGGTGGAGGGACAAAGATCAGTGGAGCAGAACAGAGACACGTCTGCTGCTTCCTTCTTTCCTTAACAGCGTACTCTGTGTATGTCCTACGTAATACCCTGTCACACAAGTGTTATCCTCAGGAGCCATTTTATTCCTGAACAGCTTCAGATTTTACCCTTTCATATTTTTCTGTTTGTCCAATTAGTTCATTACCATTAGTCTTTTTAAACAGGTAACTTGGTATAAAGTAATTAAAAGTCCTCCCTTCCAGATCTGATAGCAGCCTGACCCCTAGATAAGTATGTTCTGTGTAATATAAATTTGGTGCTCACCTGGAAGTTGTTCATTAGGCCATAGGAACAAGGACTGACTTCACAAGATGAAAAGTCAAAGTTTAATTGGCAGGCTGCAGAAGTACAGTTTGTTAGCTCAGTTACAATAGTGTCATTAACGTTCCCGGTGGCATCCCGAACAACACAAGCACCTGAAGCACAAGCGACATTGAGAACAAGTAGTATAACTAACATTTACATCCATTTCAAAATCACCTATGAAACCACAGGCAGTTATGGGACTGACTGCATATATACTGGCTTATTATAGCATACGCTGCTTTACAGGTAAGACAGCCATACCTGGAACAGAATTTGGGAAGCATTGTGATCCTCAATATTTAAGTGGTGAAAAAGAACATCATTAAGAGTAGTATATACACATAATTTACTCATACACACTTAAAAACCTTGTAAACATAGTTGTGAAAAATAATCACTAGCAAAAGAATTCCCTGGCCTATTTGGTTAAACAAACATAAAACACTGTGTTGAAACAAATATGAAACATTCTGTTCCAATGGCAGAAATGTTTTCCTATACTCCAAATATTATACATTTGGAATGTGCCAAAGATCAGACTTCAGGTAACACCTATCTTCTGTGAGGAAAAACAATTGGACATTAATGAATGGTAATTCTATTTAAACCTTTGTCTCAAGTAGTCTACCTTGATAATAAGAAAATATGTGGTACCTCAGATTTGCTTAAAAATAACCCATGGAGCAGAGAGAATGGATGAAATAAGATTAACCATGTTACAGATAATTCTTGATAACTTTTTTGAAGCCAGGTGATGGTTCTTCTGGGCTCATTAGAATATGTTCTCTACTTTCATGCAAAATTGAAAACATCCATAACAAACACTGAAAAGCTTGAAAGAAAAGCACTTCAGTATTTGGAATAACAAGTGATATACAATTAGTAGTAATTACCACTCCTTAATCTTCATATAGTTTTACTTTTTAAGCACTTTAACACTACTATCTCATCACTTATGAGGTAAAAATTATAGACATCACAGCAAAAACTAAACAGAAAATTAAGTTTGAAAGGGATTATAATGACTAGACAGACTACATGAAGAAAGTCCCTTATTCTTCAATGTCTTCATGAAACTTTCAGAGCAGTGTCTGCAAAACCATCTTTCTGTAAAGGTACTTCTGAAACTCCTTGGGAGGTGAGGGTAGAGCACCTCTACCCTTTTGTTTTCCCTAAAGCAGCTATGATTTCAGGAGTTTCACACTGCCATGTGCTACGACAGAACTGCTTAGGGGAAGAAGGTTCCACTGCTCTGAAGCAGTTGCAGGGCCCCTGCAGTAGGCGCAGTCTCTACTGGCCCAGCTCCTGAGCATCAGAGAAAAACAGAGAGGACCACGGGCTCCTCCTCTTGCCCCAAGGGTTCCTGCGCACAGAATGCAGTGAGCTGAGGGCCAGCAGTTAGAGCACTTAGAGAAGACATTCATCTGCTCTGACAAATTAGTTCCCCATTTGAAACATAATCAGTTATACCATTCTTTAAATTAAAACTAAATTTTCTTTAGCTAACTTATGTATAACATACACGAGTATGCTAGGTACCTTTAGGGGAACACAAAAACATTTTGCTAAGCTTATATATATAATTAGCATTTGTTTTTTCCAAGTGAATTTCAGGGACTTAACATGTGGATTGTAAGGATAAATGAAATGCAATTCCTTTTTTAAATGGTAAATTAGACCACCATGATAATATTTATTAATAGCATTTCTAACTCTTGTTTATAGTGAAACTTCAAAATTACATTTATGCAAATTAGCAGTTTGTAAAAACAGTTCTATTGTAACTTCCCAATAAATACATGGAAAAATACAATTTTCTTACTGAGACATTATGGGAACCTTATATTCTATAGTCTATGAATTTGCAGTATGTAATTCTTTAGACTGGTATTAAACTTCAATTTATACTGGGAGTATGCTTACATTGAACTGTAAAACTTGATTTTTAGAGGACAATGAATACAGTGCTTACATTTCAAGAATATATGTTTTCTGGATAAAGTATATAGTTTCATGGAAGTTTAATGAACTTGAGACAATTTATCTATAACCACTGCATATAAATGATATATAAATTAATGGCTATTAAATTTTGTTCTTGACTAGAATGTTTCAGTTAAAGAATCTACTTTTTTAACAGCCTCTGAAAATTTTATTTGAAAACAATCCTCTTTGCCATGAAAATAATTCTATAATAAAAGCAAGTGCCGGTTATGTTTATAGCAAAACCTCTATGCTTTTAATCTCTAGTCTATAAGACAGGGATTTAGAGACTATTTAAGTCCTTTCAAGTTCTAAAATGCTTTGATTCCATGAATGTAATAAAATGATTTAAAATCATTTCATTCAATTTAAGACTTTTTATTCAAACAGTAACACTGTTTATTTAATGTAGTATGTTCTATTCACCAAAATCAGTTTTTATGGTAAAAAATGCCAGGCATTGCTTAATGTTCTTAAAACAAACTTCATTTAGTAAGACTGCAAGAAATAGCCACCAAAAACAAAAATATTAAAAATTTCTAAGTATGAGAGTAAAATTCACTTACTTTTACATGTGAGTATTTTCTATAAATATATCTCTAAAATTTAAGAGCTTGCAAATAAAGTTTTATATAATTTTCTGATTTCCTAGAGTTAATAAAAATCCTAAGAGGAGAAATAATAGACATTGGTGGTTTAGAAAATGTCTATAAAATCACTATTAGTTTACTTAAAACTGTTTTGGAATTAAAGTATGAAACTCCCATGTCTTTTTATTGAAATATTCTGATATTAAAAGTTAGAAATATAATGGTATGAAAATAAATATTTATAGTATGTACATCATGAAATTTCTGAAACAAAAGAAATGTAAGGCTATTTACCTACAGATACTGCAATTCCTATGTAAACCACCGTAGTAATTAAAATGGCTAAGAGTGTTCCTTTGGGTATGGCTGACTGAGGATCCTAGAAGACAAGAAGATTTTTTTAAGTCTATCTTTTAAACTAAATATATGTATACCATTTTTTACATATAATCAACACAGTAATTTATAATACTTACTGCGAGATCACCTGAGATATTTGCTCCGGCCAGAATACCAGTTGCAGCAGGAAAAAAGATGGCAAATACAGAAAAGAAAGTCTCTTCCTCTCGAAAATCTGGTCCAAAATTTTCACTAAATATTTCAGCTGCAGAGACCAAAATATTTTTGGCAATTAATATAGCACGTTAGACTGTAATAATTTAGATCAAGAGTAAGTGGTAAGCATGTTATATATGATCCCTGACTTTTCTTCAGTTCCAGTAAACGGCCAGTTCTTGAATACTTCCTAATTCAAGTACTGACGCCCCTCTTTTCTTGCATGAGTGGACAGTTTACAATCAAATGATGGTTTGACCTGGATCCTGCCCTGCTATTTGTGTACCTTACTAATTATGTTTCAAGCACTTCTACTTGATTGGTGTTATTCATCCAAATGTAAATCAAAGCATGGATAAACCTCTCAATATCAGAGGTCAAAGAAGAAAGAAAGGATGTAGGAAAACAAAGGGAACCTCACTTTAATCTGGAACCATTTTTTTTCTTACAACCAACTTATATATCATGTACAGCTTTCTCTATTTCCTAGCGGTGACCTGTTTGATTTTTGAGGCTGCATTATTCACCAAGTTTCCACAATGTTAGCTAAAGCCAACTAGGTAAAGGGCCTTTCCTTTTCAACAATAACGAAAGCATCAATTAATTCTACTGTTTCCATCTACTCTGACAGGCACTGACACTGCAACACACATTAATTCTCATCTGTCCATCTGGCCATCCAGTACTGAAAGTGTCTACCATGCGCCAGGTCTGCACTGGAGCCATCTAGCATCTCAAGGGCCTGGAGCCCCAACAGCACCAAGCTAGACATGGTTCCTCTCTTCATGGAACTTAGAGAGTCTCCGTGGGGAGCCACAAAATAAGTAAAGAAACATTCATTACAAGCAGCAGTTAAATGTATTGATGGAAACAAGGTGTAGTGATAAAGAATGAGAGTGAATCTAATTCAATGTGGCTACAAAAGGCTAAATTTAGAGATAACTAGGAGATAATACTTAAGATGAGACTTCACTGAGCAAAAACCTGCCATGTGATGGTCAGGGAAAAGAGTATGCCAGCAATAAGAAACAACATGTGTAAAGGCCCCAAGGTGGGAAAAAGATTTAGCTTTTCTGAGAAACTAAAAGCATATAAAGCTCCCAAAGTAAGGGGGAGAACTGAAATGAGATTAGAGAGATCAGTGGGGTGAGATTATACAAAATTCCACAGTTTAGATTTTATCCTAAATATAATGGGAAGCCAAGGTAGACCTAGAAACATGCAAATGACACAATATGATTAATGCTTGCAGGAACACAGTGTGGACAGTGGACCGTCCATAGTTAAACTTCCCATTAACATAGGGAGCAGGGAGACCAATCGGGTTACTGGGTGGTTCCACGTAGTGATGGGAGAATAATGTACTAGTCAGAGAAGGAGTAGGAAATAAGAGGGCAGGTAGGAAACACTGAAATCCTGGTTTCTTCCACTAACTGAGATGGAGAAGCCTGAGAAAGTTAAGGTAGGAGGGATATCAAAAAAAGCAGTTGGATATATACAAATGTCTGAAGTCTAAAGGAGAAATCCAGGAATAGAAACAAGTCCCTCTCTTGGTACCATATTTGAGCCCTGAGACCAGTTATCTCCAAAGGAACAACCCTAGTCAGACAGCCCAGGACCATACTCTGTGCGACTCTTGACATTTACAGGACAGGCAGATGAGCAGGTTTAACAGGAGTAGTAGATACAGCGACCAGTGAGTTGGTAAAACACTAACATGTCTGACATCAAATAAAACAAGAAAAATATTTTAAGAGATGGGACAACTAAGCATAATTCTGCTGAGAGGCAGAGGACTAAAGAAGTGCCTGCTGGCTCCAGCACCATTCTGGCCATGCCCTTGACAGAATCCAGATGAGAGGAATTAAGAAGGAAGCGAAAGCACAATGGGGAACAGTCTACACACTCACAAAAGAGAAAGTTCTCAGGTAGCACTTTCACCAAGTTATCAAAGTTAAAAACCATCACAGAGATGGGAAAAATGGACATCTTGTGAGTCTCCTGATACACTGACCTGAGAACACATTGCTCACGTGGCATCCCTGGCAGAATGATAACCTCTACCTATGGAAATAAATCAGACAAAGCCAACTCGAGGAACCTTCTAAACACAAATATAATTATGAAAGCACAAAATACAGAAAATTATCTGCTTAATTGATGATACGTTCACTTCTGGCATGCCTAGTGGAGACACTGTCCTTCAGTCGAGGAAATCAAGAATTTAAAGCCCAGTTTAGAAGTAGGTGTGAGCACTAGTAATGAGAATAGACAATCAATCAATCTAGACAAACGATCAATCCAGGACCACTAGGCACAAACAGATGGGTGTCCTTGATTAAGAACCTTGAAACAATTCTTATCAGAAAACAGTCCAGCCAACTAAGTCAGTGTCTGATATAAGCAGTGCTATGATCCAAGGACTGTATATTGTTACCAGTCAATGACATAAATTAGGGAGCATAGATTACATCAAAATGTACAAGTAGGTCTCCTGGCTCCACAGGTTAGTTCAGCTGATTTTTTTTTCTAGTAAGACATCCTGAAGGAACATGTGCATCAATTAACAGTCGATCTGTTCACGTAACTCTATCAGGAGCTCTGTGCTAAACAACTCAAGAAAACTACAGCTAGGCTTCTTCTTGCAGGGCTTCAAAACAAGTTTTTATCAACTGAAGACAGGCAGATCTATTATCCTGAGTGATAAGCCTCTCTGGTACTGTTGCAACTTTTCTTCCCCACTTCCACTTTACCTTGCAGAGAGAGGTTCAGAGCTGCCCAGTTAGGTGGGGTGAGGATGGAGTGGGGGTGAGGATGGATACAGACAGACACTTTAGGAAATAATAAACGACAAGTAAATTTCACCAGTAGTGACAATTAGATACAGCATGAAAAGGGTTATGGAAGATGAAAACTGGAAAATTCCCACACAAGTTATAATGTAAACTATAGAAAAACTCAACTTGCAATTACACCAAGAAACTAACATTTACAGTTGCTTTCACAGTCTTAGGCACTTTTAGACTATTGTGCTTAAATACAACTGAAAGAATAAAAAAAGCCATGTCAGAACAAATGGTACCATTTCAGTTACAAATTTCCCAAATTAGAGAGGACAAAAGCACCCTTCCTCAATAGCACTGATTTTTCTCTATTCTTTCATCTTTTGTTGCTTAATGAAAAAGGAAAGATGTAAATAGAAGTGTTTTTTAACTCCAACTGTAACATACATAAAAGAGACAGAACTAAACGGAATTGTCAATTAGGTAAGTCACTACATCAAACTCAATTATATCACAAAATATCTACAATGTGCTACATTTGTTTACTAACAGAATGTAATAATATACACCTTCAAAAAAATACTCTATTTTACTTACATTTATAACCAAAAAAACCTTTGGGCTTCTTGTTCTCCAGTGGGATAAATGTTCCTATGACGAAATCAGCAACAGCAAGCAAGAGAATCACCAGGAGAACAATCTGAGCCTGGAATTTTAAACATCAAAAATCAGAATAAAATCTCTTATGACTACACACTGACTCAGTTTCCCTAGAATATAACTTCCAAGAGGGAAAGGATTTCTGTCTTGTTTCCCCAGTACCTCAAACAGGGCCAAGTGTAAAGTAGGTGCTCAATAAATTTTTATTAAATGAAGAGTCTTTAAAGAACTACCTTAGAATGTTCAACACATGGGGCAAAAATGGAAAGCATCCGTAGGACCAGACCATCCATTTCCGAAATGAATTAAAGATGTAAGCACCCTCCCACAGACCATAAAGCACTATGAATTCCCAACACTGTAGACTTTTCATCCTTTGTACCATTCTTTCCTGTCTCCTCTGCCATAGCAGTACAAACTTGACATGAAGAACATATTTGCTACAAACACAAGTTTCACACAGAGTCCAAGTACAATGCTGAATGTGTGATGGCTACAGGAAAGGAAGCAGAAAAAGTGTGCGAAGGAAACAGTACTCAGGAGTGAAATTCAACTAGCAATGGGTCTGGAAGGAAGGAACAATCTATGAACCCCACCACCTCTCCTCCTCCACTCTGTTTTGTTTTATTGAGATAAAATTGACATGTAATAATATATTAATTTCTGGTGTACAGTATAATGATCTGATGTTTGTATATATTGGGGAATGATCAACACAATAAGCCTAGTTAACATCTGTCACCATACATAGTTAGGAAACTTTTTTTCTTGTGATGAGAAGTATTAAAATATAATCTTTCACCAACTTTCAAATATGTAATACAGGAGTATTGACAATCACCATGCTGTACATTCCATCTCCTTGACATCTGTTTTACAAACCTGTGTTATCTGTAGAAATAAGAACTACTTATATGCTAATGTTGTCTCGCCTAGTATGAAATTCTGTTCTTTTCAGTAGTCTATTTGTTACATGTACAAGTAAATAATTTAATTATATATTAATGACTTAAATAATCTTGAAAAAAATTCTTTCTGACTTCCCTAACTTATGATCTGGTAAATATTATCATAGCTCATATGTATCACAAATATGTGATTTTATAGGATTTATAAAAGTAAACATGAAGAGGAGAGAACCAAGATGGTGGCGTGAGCAGAGCAGCGGAAATCTCCTCCCAAAACCATATATATTTTTGAAAATACAACAAATACAACTAATCCTAAAAGAGAGACCAGAAGACACAGGACAACAGCCAGACTACATCCACACCAACGAGCACCTGGCACCTCGCGAAGGGGGTAAGATACAAGCTGCGGCCTGGCGGGACCCGAGCGCCCCTCCCCCAAGCTCCCAGCAGGAGGAGAGGAGTCGGAGCAGGGAGGGAGAGGGAGCCCAGGACTGCTGAACACCCAGCCCCAGCCATCCGCACTGGAGTGCAGACACACAATGCGTGCATGGGGTGCTGAAAACTAGGGAAACAGGACAGTAAGACCTGTGAGCGGGTCACCATAGCTGGCTTACCTGGGACAAAGAAAAGCGAGTGCTTTTTGAAAGTCTTAAAGGTACAGGGACCCCACAGCTGGACAGAAGCACCCTGGGACACTTAGCCCAGCAGCTGCGAATCCCCGGGGAACTCTGGGTGCCTGAACCCCCGCAGTGCAGCTCAGAGGCCCCCTCACCATGATAAATAGCCTCCCGCCTGTTCCCCCTCCAACGCGGCTCTGCCATATTGGAGCAGCAGCCTGAGGCAGGCCAAGCCCACAGCAACTGCAGAGCTAAATAAACTCCATAGCAGCCTGGCAAGATCAGAAACCCCGTCTGCACGCAGCTGCCCAGCACAAGTCACTAGAGGTCGCTGTTCTCCCAGGAGAGGAAGGCCATAAACTGTCAAGAAGGGACTTTCTCTTACCCAACACACGCGCCAGCTCCCCACAAATATATCTATCGCCATGAAAAGGCAGAAGAAATTGATACAGACCAAGATCACAAAGGCAAACCCTGAGAAGGAGATAGACCTAACCAGTCTTTCTGAAAAAGAATTAAAAATAAAGCTCATAACCATGCTGATGGAGCTGCAGAGAAATATGCAAAAGCTAATGGATGAAGTCTGGAGGGAGATTACAGACGTCCAGAGGGAGATTACAGAAATGAAACAATCTCTGGAAGGATTTGTAAACATAATGGATAAGATACAAGAGGCCATTGATGGAATAGAAACCAGAGAACAGGAACGCATAGAAGCTGACACAGAGAGAGATAACAGGATCTCCAGGAATGAAACAATATTAAGAGAACTGTGTGACCATTCCAAAAGGAACAATATCCGCATTATAGGGGTACCAGAAGAAGAAGAGAGAGAAAAAGGAATAGAAAGAGTATTTGAAGAAATAATTGCTGAAAACTTCCCCAAACAGGGGGAGGAAAGAACCAATCAGACCATGGAAATGTACAGAACTCCCAACAGAAAGGACCCAAGGAGGACAACACCAAGACACATAATAATTAAAATGGCAAAGATCAAGGACAAGGACAGAGTTTTAAAGGCAGCTAGAGAGAGGAAAAAGGACACCTACAAAGGAAAACCCATCAGGCTATCATCAGACTTCTCAATAGAAACCTTACAGGCCAGAAGAGAATGGCATGATATATTTAATGCAATGAAAGAGAAGGGCCTTGAACCAAGAACACTGTATCCAGCATGACTATCATTTAAATATGAAGGAGGGATTAAACGATTCCCAGACAAGCAAAAATTGAGGGAATTTGCCTCCCACAAACCACCTCTACAGGGTATTTTAGAGGGACTGCTCTGATGGGAGCACTTCTAAGACTAAATAGATGTCACCAGAGAAAATAAAATCACAGCAAACAAAGCAGACCAACCAAATACTAACTAAAGGCAAAAAATAAAATCAACTACCCACAAAAGCAGTTAAAGGAAGCACAAAAGAACACAGAATAAAACAACCAACATATAAAGAACGGAGGAGGAGGAATAAGAAGGGAGAAAAATAAAGAATGACCAGACAGTGTTTAAAATAGCTCAATAAGTGAGGTAAGTTAGACAGTAAGATACTAAGGAAGCTAACCTTGAACCTTTGGCAACCACGAATCTAAAGCCTGCAATGGCAGTAAGTACATATCTTTCAATAATCACCCTAAATGTAAATGGACTGAATGCACTGATCAAAAGACACAGAATAATAGAATGGATAAAAAAGGAAGACCCATCTCTATGCTGCTTACAAGAGACTCACCTCAAACCCAAAGACTATAGGAACAAAGAAAGACTGAAGGAACAAAACAGTAGCAGAATCATAGAACCTAAGAATGGACTAACAGTTACCAAAGGGAAAGCGACTGGGGAGAAAGGGAGGGAAGGGAGGGATAGGGGTGGGGAAAAAGAAAGGGGACATTACGATTAGCATGTATACTGTGGGGTGGGGGCACGGGGAGGGCTGTGCGGCGCAGAGAAGACAAGTAGTGATTCTACAGCATCTTACTATGCTGATGGACAGTACTGTAATGGGGTTTGTGGGGGAGGATTTGGTGAAGATGCGACCCTAGTAAACATAATATTCTTCATGTAATTGTAGATTAATGACAACAAAATAAATAAATTAATTTTTAAAAAAGTAAACATGAAGAAACCTGAATGGGGAGAGTTCCTCAGCAGCACCTTTGTGAATATGCATTACTCAGAAAACTACTACTGGGTTGTGGCACATTCTCTCAAAGAGAAATATTTTTGGGTGCTCTGCCTACAGGTTAATGTGCCACTGCAACAATTTTTCCCAGAGAACAGTGGTTCCGGCTTTGGCAGTCATGATTTCTGAGATTTCAACAGCAAGCAAGATTAGCTTCTCTAATCTCTTATGGGCACGAACCTCAAGTTTATTATCCCTGTGTTTATCTTTTAAAATGGACTTTTAAATAAATTACAAAGCCAACAGTTTAATTTAGGCTCCGTTAATACAGTGACCTGAGCATTTCTACACAATGTAGGTCAGATTAGGAGATGAAAGGGGAGGTACGAAACCAAACATTTAGAAAGTACAATGTTTAATTGGTCCCCCTAAACTGTTATCTCCAAATACTTCCTGACTTGCAAATAGAAAATAACCTTATACACAAATTTCTCTTGAAATAGCCCCTTAGGAAACTTCAGAACCTAAAAATATCACCACACTTTATAGTGCTCCCAAAATGAAAGCCCTATAAGTTCATATATTAAATATTTACAGGTATTCCAATTATATCATTACTTACTTTTGCTTCCCACTCCATTCCAGCTACTGAGATACCTAAAAGGATCACCACTGTAATGGCGCCAATAATTCGGATATCATTGATTTCATCTATCATAAGTATGGAATGTTCCTAGAAGAGATTATAAATGTAATGAGCAATATTATTTTAGAGAAACTCTTTAATTCTTTTTAAAACAGTTTAGACTTATCAGAACCATACGTGAAGAGGTTGAATAAATACCTATTTAAGGAATGAATAGGGAGACCCATGGAAAAGGAATGAGTAGCTGTGTACTACTGATGTGCCATTCAAGTATCTAATAACATCAAAAATATGATTGAAGGGAAAATGCTCTATTTAATGCTGACTTAATAAATCAAAAAGAGAATTGACTAAGTAGTACTAATAGGATTTAAAGTTAGATAGGAGAAATATATTTTGTATTTATTGTGATTAGTTAACCCATGCTTTGAATAGTCTGACGTTGCAGTTGTTCAAAGATACACCCTGTTTTTATTTCATGGGCAAAGTATTTGTGCTTTAATATCAATAACATTTAAAACACACTAAACTGAGTAATGAAAGAATATGAACTTTTAAAAACTACACTGCTTGCTTACTTACAGCCCTTCCTCTTCTCCATCCTTTTAAGCCTATACAGAAAGGTCACATTAGGTCAATGCCAATGTGTCAGTCTTCAGATTTTACACTTCCAACTTTACCACTTAGTAGTGCAGAAGAAGAGACCTACAACCTAATCCGACATGAACAACTACAGGTGTCACTTGAGGTGCCTCTCACTTAATGCTGAATCCTATTCTACTTCTACTGCTTTACCTACACACATCCCAATGACTCTTTTCAAACCAGTTCTCTTAACTCCAGAGCAGTATTATCAACTACTCTCTGGCCAGCTCTACTTGGATATACCTCTGGTACCTCAAATTAGACATCCAAAATAAAACTGTCCTGTGTTCTCTATCTCACAGTAAACAGAATTATCTTCCAATTAAATTCCTAACTCAGAAATCCATGTATAAACTTGAATTTTATAAATCCCACATCCCTTTTAAATCATCAAGTCCACTTACTCACCATTTTAAAGTGTCTCAAATTCACCCATACCTCTCCAGCCCCACTGGTCATTGTTTTAGTATGCCACCATCTCCTCTCCCAGGATAGTCACAATGATCCTTCATCTCTAGTTGTGATTCCTCAAATCCATCCTCTATACTGTGGTCAGATGTTTCTTTATGCCCCCAACTGATGAGGTCATGGCCCCCAACTCCAATCAAGATTAAGACCCAAATTTAACAGCAAAGACGACCCTTCCTGACTTGATCCTTTTTTTCCCACTGTAGTCTTATATTTCTTGCTACTTTGTGCTCCAGTCATAGAGAAATATTTAGTTTTTAAAAAGCACTTTAATGACCTTCTAAGCTTTTGTTTCCTTTTCTCCCTGCTCCCCTCACACCACACACCACCTCCCCCATTTGCCTGTTAACATCTAGACTCCCTTTTTGGAAAACCCTCCCTTGATAGTCCTTTGCTGCCCACACTTCTGGAGGGTAAGCTAAGTGGTTCCCCCTTTGTGCTGCCAAGGTTTCCTATAATAACCCACTTCTAACATCCTGTAATTTTTTTGTCCATTTCCCCTGCTAAACTTCCTGAAAAAGTGAGTTTAATGTTCATCATTGCTTTCTTAGCATCCATCTAACATGTGAGTGGCACATAAGCCCTCGGAAAGGTTTGGTAAACCAGTGAGTAGAAGAAAGGTCAGATTACCTTCAGCAAGTCCACCACAGTTTCTGCAAACCCCACCACATACATAGCGACTGCAACAGCATTGGCAAAAGCAAAGATCAGGCCAATTGCACCACCAAATTCCGGCCCTAGACTTCTAGATATTAAATAATACGCTCCTCCTAAAGAAAAGGAAAGAAACAATGAAAATACTAAAGTTAGGATTTTAAATGTCAAACCATCTTTTTAATTACACAGAAGACTTCACAAAGTACATGACTCCACAAGCACAGTAGTTAAATAAACAAGCAAGTGGGTGAGCATAATTTTCAGGAAAGAACACCCAGAAAGAATTCTTTACAACCCACTTCATTTGTTAACAGTTCTCAACATCTACAGAATTCTCCCCCTATCAAATATAACATCACCCTGCTATTTAAATCCCTGCTTTTCTTCTAAAGCTTTAAATGGGGAACAGCCTTGTCTTCATAGTCATAGATACCAAGATCATCTCCCAGTGGTTTTCTAAGTAACATTTTAAATTTTAATGTAACTTTTAAAATCTCAGTTGACATGATTTCAGTTCCTTAAATTAGTATGATAATTTGCTGGCAAAGTGAGTACTAAGGAAAAAAGGAAAAAAAAGTATCACAAGAAAATGCAGGGAACAGCATACTGTGGCATCCTAAATAAATATAGTTTGCATTCTAATAAATCCTGGCTAAATGCCAGAGTAAAGAATATTAAATGAGCTATCATGAAACAAGTAATTTTCTAGCTAAAAAAATAAATCACTATCACGATTTTGAGTCAATCTAATGTGAAGTTCAAGTCTCCAAGATCTCTTCTAAATTCTGATTTATTTCTGGCCTCTGAATCTTAATCATAAACTAAAACTTAAGTTTCAATAATAAGTTACATGAAGTTACATATATTTTTTTACATACTGATGAAATACTAATTCTTAAGGCCATACAATAAAATGCCATTAAACTGAATATTTATTTCTACTATTCTCCTAATATAACGAAGACAAATGCAACAAAAAATTCTATAGTTTGATAAAATGTTGAACATGCAAAGTTCATTTTGGAAAAATACTGGTTTTTTCTAGGTTTTTTAGTTAATTCTATCAATTCTCTTAAAATATTCTACACTTTAAACCCAACTGCCCAAATTCCTTAGCTACTCATTTTACCAAAGAATAATTTCATCACCTTGAAAATCCTGAAGAAAAAAATGCTACTTGCCCATTCAGTATTCATCTTGTGGGATTTTTTATGAGATAAAGTGACTTTAAAATTTCCCAGATATATTTTTGAACACTAAAAATTTAAATGGACTTACATAGCAACAATTTCTTATGTCAAATAACGATCTTAGAGTAAGTTTTGAAGACAATAAACCACACTGTTAATTAACCACAAGGAAAATCTCTAGAATATTATAATTATCACATACATTTAATGCTTTCAAAATTGATGTAGATTATTTAATCCCAATACAACAATGAATTAATGCAAATATTTAGCCTGATTTTATAGATGAGAAAATTAAGCCACAATGAAAGGTTAACTGAAAATCAGTCAACACTCTCGTGTTTCAATAGTTGACAGTATAAACCACAGAATGAGAAACATCACCAATAGGACCTATAAAAGCACGAAATTAAGTTGTTATGTGCTTTAAAGATTTAACTTTATGAAATTTCAAGTCTTTCTATTACTAAGAAGAAAATATGCAACTTAAGATGTATTTAACATGGGGAAAAATAATGGGAAGGGGAAATTCACCTTCAGTATGATGGACATAAGTAGGCAAATTCTGGCAGTTTAGAACTATTTGGAATCTTCTATAAATTGGGATACCTAAAACTTAAAACCTCAAACCCAGTTTTGTTACTTTTTAAAAGATTCGGCTTTATTTTTCTTAATAAGAAGAGACATATGGATAATGAAGAATATTAAAAGCATCTGCTCATCTTCCTATACTTTTACTCCTGATGAAAAGTGACAGTTTTCTGCTCTATTCCTTCCCACTCTCCCTCCTGCTTCCCACAGGCAGCCAGCTTTAAGAGCAGCTTTCTTCGTTTTTTCCTTAGCATCAAAGTGGATAGCATTAAAGATCCAAGACACTGAAAGACTGGTCTTTTTACCAATTCACAACAAGTAGGTAATATCTTACACTTAAGTTTTGTTTTGTTAAAAATTACACTGTTTATTTAATTACAGCAAATTACTATTATCATTCCCATTTTACATAGAAGAAAATGAAGGCTTAGAGAGGTTAGATACCTTGACCAAGGTCATGCAAGCAGTAAAGGAAGAGCTGCACTGAAACTAAGGTCTCCAACTTCAGTGCTTATCCAAGTACAATACACATAACAAAATCAGCCCTTTTGTTATTGCTGAAAATGCTTAGGAGTATGATAAAGAATTATAATCAATTAAAAGGCAATAGAAAACAAAAAAAAATTACTTTCTTTCAAAAAATCTACTGGTAAAGCAAACTCAAAAGTCAGATAGGAAAAAAAGTTCCTACTAGGGTCTCATAATTTGGCCATAAAGCACCCTAACTTCTGGGTGTAGAGAACATAAATAAGTCATATGCCAGAGATTATAAGTAATGACAACAGCATATATACTGGGTTCCATTATTATTAAATAATGACTACATATATTAATATATACATAGACATATATATGTCCCTGTAGCTCTAGCTCTTGCTAAATTCCAAATCAATAACCAAAATCTTAACTAGGAAAATGAAGAACAGTAGAGAACATAAATAAGTCATATGCCAGAGATTATAAGTAATGACAACAGCATATATACTGGGTTCCATTATTATTAAATAATGACTACATATATTAATATATACATAGACATATATATGTCCCTGTAGCTCTAGCTCTTGCTAAATTCCAAATCAATAACCAAAATCTTAACTAGGAAAATGAAGAACCTAAGATTAAAAACTGATTGACAAAAGTCTCAATAAATTTCAAAGAGCTAAAATGATACAGTGGATATTACAGACCACAGCAAAATTAAAATTAAACATATGAAAGATTTCTAAATATCTCTAAATTGTGCAACATATTTTTAAGTAATGCATTGATTAAAGAATAAGCCACAAAGGAAACTAAAAAGAATTTTCAATTGAATGACAATGAAAACACAACCCATCAGAATTAGTGGGAAATACCTAAGGCAGGAACTATGGGAAAATTTAGTTTAAATGCTTCTGTTAAAAAGATAGAAAATCAATGATCTAGTATTCTACCTTCAAAGGCTAACAAAAAGATAAGTAAAATTCAAAGAAAAAAAAAGAAAAGAACAAAAATCACTGATACAGAAAATGATAAAGATCAAAAAAGCCAAAAGTTATTTTAAAAAAGCATTAGTAAAACTGATAAATGAGCTAGACAAGAACAAAAAAAACAAATTAACCCAATTAGTAACAAAAGCAGGGACACATCACCATAAATCCTACAGTCATTAAAAGCTTAAAAATATAAAATATTAAAAATTATATTGCAATCAATATGTAACTTAGATGAAATGGATAAATTCCTTGGATTTTGTAACTTAGATGGATATGTACCTTAGATGAAATGAATAAAAACATGCTAGAACTATGGTAAGAACAGAAAGCTGAAATAATGTTATTGCTGGCATAGAAATTAAACTTGTAATAAAAACCTCCACATATTCAAAAAGATTCAAAAAAACCACTTAACTTCTGATAATAACAGAATAAGGGAGAAAATCCATTATAACCATTTCAAAAAATGTAGAAAAAGCATGACAAAATTCAACATCCATTCATGATAACTAGTCTCAGCAATTAAGAAATAGAACTTTCTTAATCTGACAAATGCCATCTTCAAAAAATCCATAGTTATAGCATCTTCTTACTAATGATATACTGAACTCATTCCCCCAAGACTGAGAACAATGCAAGGATTCTATTCTCACACCATTTCTATTCACCACTGTACTGGAGGTGGTTAAATTCAAAAGATGATAAAAAGGAGAAAATCCTAAGATTGCAAAGAAGTAGAATAAACCATTTCTATTCACAGATGGCATGACTTTTTGTTTAGCAAGGATACCATGTCAAGATACTAATGTCTTCTGTATTTCTATATATAAGCAACAAAAAAATAAAAAAATAAAATTTACAACTAACATTTATAACATGAAAAATATGGAAATACTTAGGGATAATTTAGTAAAATATACGCAAGACCTCTGTACTGAAAAATACAAAACACTGCTGAGAAAAATGAAAGACAATCTAAATTATACTCATAAATTAGAAGACTCAGTGTTATAACATGGCCATTCTTCCCAAATAAATTTTTTGAAGCTGAAATCCTAAAGCCCCCACAAGGTTTTGTTTCTGTTTTTGTTTCATTTTGTTTAGTATTAACTGTTATAGTTAATTGAAAAATTTATGTGGAAATGCAAGGGTCTAAAAGAACCAAAACAATTTCAAAAAAGTTGGAAGACTTGGGACTTGAAAAACTAACCAACAAGACAGGGAAGAAATGGCAAAATAGGACAAACAGATCAATGGAACAGCATATAGTCCAGACAATATACAGACAACTGATTTTTCAACAATACCAAAAATAATCCAGAAGATAATATAGTTGTTACAACAAATGCTGCTGGAGCAAGTGGTTATCTGTACAGGGTGGGGCAGGGGGAGGAAGAGCTAAAGAAGGGGAGAACCTCAACCTCGATCTCATATAATGTTCAAAAGTTAATTTGAGACCATTTATAGTAAAAAATATAACAACAAAAGCTATAAAGATTCTGGGCAAAAACAAAGGAGAATATCTTCATGACCTTGGAATAAGCAAAGATTTCAAGACACAACAATAATAGTAACCATAAAAAAAAAACATGAAAATCTGGACTGCAACAAAATGGTAAACTTCCACTCTTCAAAAAACATGATTTAGAAAATGATAAGGAAAGTCACAAACTGGAAAAAATACATTAAGACATGTGATATATCCAGGATATATAAAAAACTACAAATCAAAAGATAACAATTTAAGAATTGGCAAAACATTTGAATACATTACAAAATAAGACATACATGTGGTCTTAATCAGATTAAAAGATGCTTTTCATAATGAGTCATCCATAAGAACAGCTATAATTG